CGAAGAGTCAGTCTTGCATTCAACCTCACTCCTTCAAGGGAAGTGTGGGGCTCTGATATGCTTGATAATGCGGGGCAGCCAAGTGACTCCATGCCCTTTGATTCGGGATGTGTGTTGCTTGGCAGTGAACGAGTCGATGATTCAGTCTTGCATTCAACCTCACTCCTTCAAGGGAAGTGTGGGGCTCTGATATGCTTTATAATGTGGGGTGGCCTTGTCACCCATAACCTGGTGATTCGGGATGTGTGTTGCTTGGCAGTGTACGATGACTCCTTGCGTTCAACCCCACTCCTTCAAGGGAAGTGTGGGGCTCTGATATGCTTGATAATGCGGAGTAGCCAAGTGACACGATGCCTGTGATTCGGGATGTGTGTAGCTTGGCAGTGAACGAGTCGATCAGTCAGTCTTGCATTCAACCTCACTCCTTCAAGGGAAATGTGGGGCTCTGATATGCTTGATAATGTGGGGAAGCCTTGTCACACCATTCCTCGTGATTCGGGATGTGTGTTGCTTGGCAGTGTACGATGAATCCTTCTTGCGTTCAACCCCACTCGTTCAAGGGAAGTGTGGGGCTCTGATATGCTTGATAATGCGAGGCAGCCAAGTGACTCCATGCCCGGTGATTCGGGTTGTGTGTTGCTCGGCATTGAACGAGTCGATGAGTCATTCATGCATTCAACCTCACTCCTTCAAGGCAAGTGTGGGGCCTGATATGCTTGACAAAGTGGGGAAGCCTTGTAACTCCATACCTGGTGATTCGGGATGTGTGTTGCTTGGCAGTGAACGAGTTGATGAGTCAGTCTTGCATTCAACCTCTCTCCTTCAAGGGAAGTGTGGGACTCTGATATGCTTGATAATGCGGGGAAGCCAAGTGACTCTATGCCCTTTGATTCGTGATGTGTGTTGCTTGGCAGTGAACGAGTCGATGATTCAGTCTTGCATTCAACCTCACTCCTTCAAGGGAGGTGTGGGGCTCTGATATGCTTGATAATGTGGGGAAGCCTTGTCACCCATCACCTGGTGATTCGGGATGTGTATTGCTTGGCAGTGTACGATGACTCCTTGCGTTCAACCCCACTCGTTCATGGGAAGTGTGGGGCGCTGATATGCTTGATAATGCGGGGCAGCCAAGTGACTCCATGCCCGGTGATTCGGGTTGTGTGTTGCTTGGCAGTGAACGAGTCGAAGAGTCAGTCTTGCATTCAACCTCACTCCTTCAAGGGAAGTGTGGGGCTCTGATATGCTTGATAATGTGGGGCAGTCAAGTGACTCCATACCTGGTGATTCGGGATGTGTGTTGCCTGGCAGTGTACGATGACTCCTTCTTGCGTTCAACCCCACTCCTTCAAGGGAAGTGTGGGGCTCTGATATGCTTGATAATGCGAGGCAGCCAAGTGACTCCATGCCCGGCAATTCGGGATGTGCGTTGCTTGGCCGTGAACGAGTCGAACAGTCAGTCTTGCAGTCAACCTCACTCCTTCAAGGGAAGTGTGGGGCTCTGATATGCTTGATAATGCGGGGCAGCCAAGTGACTCCATGCCCTTTGATTCGGGATGTGTGTTGCTTGGCAGTGAACGAGGCGATGATATAGTCTTGCATTCAACCTCACTCCTTCAAGGGAAGTGTGGGGCTCTGATATGCTTGATAATGTGGGGTAGCCTTGTCACCCATCACCTGATGATTCGGGATGTGTGTTGCTGGGCAGTGTACGATGACTCCTCGCATTCAACCCCACTCCTTCAAGGGAAGTGTAGGGCTCTGATATGCTTGATAATCCGGAGCAGCCAAGTGACTCCGTGCCTGGTGATTCGGGATGTGTGTAGCTTGGCAGTGAATGAGTCGATGAGTCAGTCTTGCATTCAACCTCACTCCTTCAAGGGAAATGTGGGGCTCTGACATGCTTGATAATGTGGGGAAGCCTTGTCACCCCATTCCTCGTGATTCGGGATGTGTGTTGCTTGGCAGTGTACCATGACTCCTTCTTGCGTTCAACCCCACTCCTTCAAGGGAAGTGTGGGGCTCTGATATGCTTGATAATGCGAGGCAGCCAAGTGACTCCATGCCCGGTGATTCGGGTTGTGTGTTGCTTGGCGTTGAACGAGTCGACGAGTCAGTCATGCATTCAACCTCACTCCTTCAAGGGAAGTGTGGGGCCGTATATGCTTGACAAAGTGGGGAAGCCTTGTAAGTCCATACCTGGTGATTCGGGATGTGTGTGTCTTGGCAGTGAACGAGTTGATGAGTCAGTCTTGCATTCAACCTCACTCATTCAAGGGAAGTGTGGGGCTCTGATATGCTTGATAATGTGGGGTAGCCTTGTCACCCATTACCTGGTGATTCGGGATGTGTGTTGCTTGGCAGTGTACAATGACTCCTTCTTGCGTTCAACCCCACTCCTTCAAGGGAACTGTGGGGCTCTGATATGCTTGATAATGCAGGGCAGCCAAGTGACTCCATGCCCGGTGATTCGGGATGTGTGTTGCTTGGCAGTGAACGAGTCGATGAGTCAGTCTTGCATTCAACCTCGCTCCTTCAAGGGAAGTGTGGGGCTCTGATATTCTTGATAATGTGGGGCAGTCAAGTGACTCCATACCTGGTGATTCGGGATGTGTGTTGCTTGGCAGTGTACGATGACTCCTTGCGTTCAACCCCACTCCTTCAAGGGAAGTGTGGGGCTCTGATATGCTTGATAATGCGAGGCAGCCAAGTGACTCCATGCCCGGTGATTCGGGTTGTGTGTTGCTTGGCATTGAACGAGTCAATGAGTCAGTCATGCATTCAACCTCACTCCTTCAAGGGAAGTGTGGGGCCTGATATGCTTGACAAAGTGGGGAAGCCTTGTAACTCCATACCTGGTGATTCGGGGATGTGTGCTGCTTGTCAGTGAACGATGAGTCATTCTAGCGTTCAACCTCAATCCTTCAAGGGAAGTGTGGGGCTCTGATATGCTTGATAATGCGGGGCAGCCAAGTGACTCCATGCCTGGTAATTCGGGATGTGCGTTGCCTGGCAGTGAACGAGTCGAAGAGTCAGTTTTGCATTCAACCTCACTCCTTCAGGGGAGGTGTGCGGCTCTGATATGCTTGATAATGTGGGGTAGCCTTGTCACCCATCACCTGGTGATTCGGGATGTGTGTTGCTTGCCAGTGGACGATGAGTCCTTCTTTCGTCCAACCTCACTCCTTCAAGGGAAGTGTCGGGCTTCGATATGCTTGATAATGCGGGTCAACCAAGTTACTCCATGACTGGTGATTCGGGTTGTGTGTTGCTTAGCATTGAACGAGTCGATAAGTCAGTCTTGCATTCAACCTCACTCGTTCAAGGGAAGTGTGGGGCCTTGATATGCTTGACAATGCGGGGATGCCTTGTCACTCCTTACCTAGTCATTCGGGATGTGTGTTGCTTGGCAGTGAAGGGGTCGATGAGTCCTTCTTGCGTTCAACCTCACTCCTTCAAGGGAAGTGTGGGGCCCTGATGTGTTTGACAATGTGGGGCAGCCTTGTAACTCCATACCTGGTGATTTGGATGTGTGTTGTGAACGATGAGTCATTCTTACGTTCAACCTCACTCCTTCAATGAAAGGGTGGGGCTCTATATGCATGATAATGCGAGGAAGCCAAATGACTCCATGCCCGGTGATTCAGGATGTGTGTTGCTTGGCAGTGAACGTGTCGAGGAGTCAAACTTACACTCAACCTCATTCCTTCAAGGGAAGTGTGGGGCCCTGATATGCTTGACAATGTGGGGAAGCCTTGTAACTCCATGCCTGGTAATTCGGGATGTGTGTTGTTTGGCAGTGAACGATGAGTCATTCTTGCATTCAACCCCACTCCTTCAAGGGAAGTGTGGGGCTCTGATATGCTTGATAATGCTGGGCAGCCAAGGGACTCCATGACCGGTGATTCGGGTTGTGTGTTGCTTGGCATTGAACGATTCGATGAGTCAGTCCTGCATTAAACCTCACTCCTTCAAGGGAAGTGTGGGGCCCTGATATGCTTGACAATCCGGGAAAGCCTTGTAACTCCATACCTCGTGATTCGGGACGTGTGTTGTCTGGCAGTGAACGTTGTGTCATTCCAGCGTTCAACCTCACTCCTTCAAGGGAAGTATGGGGCTCTGATATGCATGATAATGTGGGGCAGCTAAATGACTCCATGCATGGTAATTCGGGATGTGCGTTGCTAGGCAGTAAACGAGTCGAAGAGTCAGTTTTGCATTCAACCTCACTCCTTCAAGGGAAGTGTGGGGCTCTGATATGCTTGATATTGTGGGGATGCCTTGAAACTTGTAACTTGTAACTCCATACCTGGTGATTTCGGATGTACGTTGCCTGTCAGTGACCGATGAGTCACTAAACAACCTCAATCCTTCATGGGAAGTGTTGGGCTCTGATATGCTTGATAATGCGGGGCAGCCAAGTGACTTCATGCCCGGCAATTCGGGATGTGCGTTGCTTGGCAGTGAACGAGTCAAAGAGTCAGTCTTGCATTCAACCTCACTCCTTCAAGGGAAGTGTGGGGCTCTGATATGCTTGATAATGTGGGGCAGCCAAGTGACTCCATGACCGGTGATTCGGGTTGTGTGTTGCTTGGCAGTGAACGAGTCTATGAGTCGGTCTTACATCAAATATCTGGCGACACTTTGTCTAAATAGGCAAACCACTTAGGGTCCAGCAATTCGATTGTGGAGTCTGATCCTCTGTCTGCCTGTCTCTCCCTCTCTCATTGTCTCTCTCTCTCTTTCCCTGTCTCTCCCTTTCTGTCTCTCTTTGTCTGTCTGTCTCTCTCTCTCTCTCCTCTCTCTCTCTGTCTCTCTCACTCTCTCTCACTTTCTCTGTCTTTCTCTCTCTCTCTCTCTCTCTCTCTCTCTCTCTCTCTCTCTCTCTCTCTCTCTCTCTCTCTCTCTCTCTGTCTCTCTCTCTCTCTCTCTCTCTCTCTCTCTCTCTATCTATCTATCTATCTATCTGTCTATCTATCTATCTCTTCTACGACGTCATCGAGGTCTGCTGCGGCGTCATCAAGGTCTCCTACAGCATCATCTTGATCTGCTGCATCATCATCGAGGTCTGCTACAGCGTCATGGAGGTAGGCTACAGCGTCATGGAGGTCTGCTAAAGCGTCATGGAGTCCTGCTACAGCGTCAAGGAGATCTGCTACAGCGTCATGGGGGTCTGCTACAGCGTCATGGAGGTCTGCTACAGCGTCATCCAGGTCTGCTACAGCATCATCGAGGTCTGCTACAGCGTCATCGAGGTCTGCTACAGCGTCATCAAGGTCTGCTACAGCATCATCCAGGTCTGCTACAGCGTTATCGTGATCTGCTGCATCGTCATCGAGGTGTGCTACAGCGTCATCAAGGTCTGCTACAGCGTCATCGAGGTCTGCTACAGCGTCTTGGAGGTCTGCTACAGCTTCATGGAGGTCTGCTAAAGCGTCATGGAGGTCTGCTACAGCGTCATGGAGGTCTGCTACAGCGTCATGGAGGTCTGCTACAGCATCTTGGAGGTCTGCTACAGCGTCATGGAGGTCTGCTACAGCGTCTTGGAGATCTGCTACAGCGTCATGGAGGTCTGCTACAGCTTCATGGAGGTCTGCTACAGTGTCATCAAAATCTGCCGCAGAGTCATCGAAGATACCATCCACACGTGATGCTGGCTTCCGTTGCTCGTCACACTGGTAAGTTAGCTCGTAATATGTTTGCTTTCAAAATGTTTGAAATGCTTACAGGGCACTGGTAACCTGTCACAAGCGTTTACGTACGTGTACATCAAATATCTGCAACACAATATGACCCGCGCTCTGCGAAAACCGACCTTAGGTGCTTCGTAATTTTTTCGAGAAAAAGATCAAAACGTCACGGTCTGTCGATTTTTGAAGATCACAACGTCAGAGTCATGGCGGAACGAAGCAGAAGACGGTCGCTCGCTCAAATAATTGCTGTGGGCTTCTCCCAGGGGTTTCATCCGAACTCCTTCACGATGAATAGTCATTTTTTGCCCTGGTCCAATCGCAGTTCTGATGACAGCATTGCCGAGGAGAGTCGAATGTGGAGTCGCAGGTCGCAACGCTGATCGAGCTGGACGGCCATGCGGAGGAGAATTTCGATCAGGCGTCAGTTTTGCCACCAGCCCAGGCCCTCAATGCCGGCAATAAACAGAGTGCAGACCAAGAAAAATCGGTTCAAGTACTGTCTACAATCCAGGAGGCGCGCGACAAGTTTGACAAGGGCTGTAGTTGTTCCGCTCTGGTGCTGTTTCAAGAGCGTGACACTTGAAACCTTGCTTTACATTTACAGCGCACACAGCTCACGTCCTCACCAAGTCAGAGCGCTGCTTGTGTGTAGGCGGAAAGCTAGACGTGCTCAGGAGACGTGGTGAGGCTACCCAGCGCGTCCAGCATGCTGGGAGATGTGATAGATGGGGCTCAACAATACTACTCTGAACTACTGAAGGCTACAGTCAGTGGCTGGTGTGGAAGTCATGTACATGCATGTCAGGAAGTCTTTGTGTATGCCTCCAGCCCAGAATCAAGCCCTGGGTGCTGAAATCTGTGCAGGCTGCTGTCAGTGCAAGTGAAATCAGCCCAACACAGGAATTGAATGAACTCTGGAATGAACTGCCTGTGGAAGATGTTGTGGAGCTGAAGCATTTTATAGAGCATTATGATAGCTCATGGCCTCCCTTAACCTGCAGATCCACATGGGCACAACAAGCCAGTACCAACCTACATGTATTTGCCCAGTATCACTACGAAGAAGCTTGTTCATCAGGCGTTCACAAAGCCTGGTGGCAAACCTGTATACAGTACGTTTGGCAAGATTTGGAAAAGAGACTGCCATGATATCACCGATTATGAAACAATGTGTGCGGCAGATGTAGACATAACTAGATGTTCTACTACCAGTACCAGATATAACTATCAATATCCTTTAACCCGGCATTAATCTGAGCTTCTTCACTACTTTGCACCTGCCTCTACCCATCACTCCGGCTGCCATATCCTCATACAGAGCCAAATACCTCTTCGAGCAGATTCGTGAGCAACACCATCCACAGAACAGAGATAGAATGTGTCTATCTCCACAACAGGAAGATCCAATGCCATCATAAACCTTTCCTTTTGAAGATTATGACATACAGATTTATTCTGCAAAGTTTGGTTGCAATCATGCTGCTTGAATTCTCACAGCATTGGCTCTGTCAGGGCCGCGCTTGGCGGGTTTGTGACTTGCTTAGATCAGTCTAGTGGCTACCCAGGTAGACGACCAATATAGTCGCCATCCAAGTTGCTAGCTCACACCTGTTTTCCGGCTCACACAAGGTAGTCGAAGGTTGAAGGGGAGCGATCAAAGATACTTTTATTCGTTGGAAGAAGGCGGCTTTTATGTGATTTTGGTTATAGTATAATTGTGATATAATAATTAGTAGGAAATATTTAGTATAGCTTCGGGGAGCTCGCTCACCCACATTACATGATAGTGTTACAAATATGAGTGATCTCCGAGGTTATTCGTACGTCGATCGTGCGACGGAGCCTGGAGTACGCTGTCGGATGTTGCTGCAGCTAGAGCGTGCCGCCTTCGTACGGTGTCTTGATTGGGTCACCCTTCATCTTCTGCCCCGTAGGCACTTCCCTCTCATAACCCCATAGGGCGCTTCACGGTCAAGCCACGACCTCTCCCAAAAAGGGATAACGGAGTCCGCAGTGCGCGAAGCACTTGCAGGACCCTTTACGTCGTACGACGCGAGAAGAGGTGCCATGCTTGCTCGACTAACAAAGGTATCAGCTCCCTTGCAGGACTAAGCAGGGTCCCCTCAAGCTCAACAGTGTAGTGAGTACAATGCTGACGACTTGTACTGAAGGTGTAGCCGCCGTACGACAACACTTGTGACTCGAGGCCATGAGTTGTAAGCCATGATTGCTCAACTAACGAAAGTGCCAAATCCTTCGCAGGACTAATCATGGTTCTTACAGAACTCTAGAATATTTCGGAGCCCAGCTTTTGGCTGCTGAATCTCATTGCGTGGTTGCTTTCACGACGAGTCGAGTCCGGGTCATGACAGCTCCAAAATGTAGCATAAAATCCAGGATTTTAGCTTTTTTTCCTCAAAAATTGTAGGAAAAGTGCAAAGAAATTGTCATTGTATCTAACTAAATATGTATGCAATCCACCTCAAACTTCACCAGAAGTTGAAGAAAGGGTCATGGGTCAACAATCCAGCACAAACTCAATTTCGCCAAAATAGCTAAGGTCGGTTTTTGCAGAGCACTGGTCATATGACTTTATAGGCAAACCACTTAGGGCCCAGCAATTCGAGTTTGGAGTCTGATCTTCTGTCTGCCTGATTCTCTCTCTCTCTCTCTCACTCACTCTATCTCGCTGTCTGTCTCTCTCTCTCTCTCTCTCTCTCTCTCCCGCTCGCTCTCACGTTCGCGTTCTCTCTCGCTCTCTCTCGCTCTCTCTCTTTCTCTCTCTCTCTCTCTCTCTCTCACATACACACACTTTGGTGATGTGGCTGGACCTCTCGTGGAAATCCCTTTTGTATGGTGGTACTGGTAACGATTTGAAATTTCTTCTTCCGTCAACCCTTGACGTACTACCTTCTCCGACGAACCTTCACCGTTGGGGAAACACGGTAGTGGATCCGTACTGTAGTTTGTGCCGTGCATGGGCCTGTACTACGCACCACGTGCTTGGCACATGCCGCGTAGCACTGGACCAGGGACGTTACACGTGGAGGCACGATAACGTACTCTGGGCCATCGTCAGAAACATGCGTGAGGAGATTCGAATCCGCACTGCTGCAAACACCGTACAAACCGAAATTCTAATGAGCTTGACTTCATCTCGTTTTGCAATGCGGGAGAGAAGCCAGTTCGCGTTCAGCCAGACGAAAGTTGGTTACGACTGATCTCCTGTCAGCGGCCTCAGACTGGAAACGTCTTGTCGACTCAGTGCAACGATTTCTTTCCCTAGCTGTGTTGCACTTACCACCCTAAGACCAGATAATTATAGTTCTGTACTCTACGAGTCGTAGGATTGTATTCTGGATGGAGTTGACAGTTTTTGCTGAGGACAGATTCAGTGTTAGTAACCAGGACAGGCGGCGGCATGCAGATCTGGCCGATCAATGCCGAGCAAATGGGTGGCAGGTTGTTTGTTTTTTGGTTGAGGTAGGTGTGCGTGCTTTCAATGAATTTCAATTTCCACAACAGTAGTTTCCAGCAACAAAAAAAAAACAGAAAAGAAAATGTGTATGAGCAGAGCTGTGAAGCCAAGACATCACTGATGGCATCATGCAAAAAAACAAAGACAAGAAAACGCAGCCGAAAAGGTGTGAAACACTTCTTGTCTACTCGCATTTTTTGAAATGCACTCTCTCCGGGACGGCGATTGGGAGGCCACAAGAACATGCTGAATTCACGCTATGTATGTCTTCATTTTCAACTTCCTCCGCAGACGTGCATCAAACTGGACAGTGGACAAGTGCAACACACTATCGCTATTGCAACCAAGGACTGTGATGCAGTGGGCATCGGCATCCAGCTGGGGATCGGACACAGAGCAGAGTTGCGGACATGCAAGCCCAGTGCGCACGTGCTGCGTGGAGGAGACAAACTTCACTTTGGTTGCCCTTCATGGAGCGTTGGAAGAGTAAGTCGTAAAATGGCTTTGACGTGATCTTCTAGTCTTGTAGACGACATTCAGCTAGTACATATCCTGCCAAGTGTAGTTGTGAGACTTCCAACGCTGTCTGTCAATAGTCAGTGTGTTTACTGCAGTTGCGCTCGCTGAAATCCCACATGAAATCCCACATGAAATGTATATTTGGCGCTCCGTAACGATAAGGCCCTCGACCATGTTGACACCATGTTAAGCGCGATGCACAATATCGCTCCTGCGACGTGATGAGTGACGAGCGATGTGATCGACGGTCATTTTCTGCAAAACGTTGCATTGAAGGCTGCCGCAGCTCCGCCGAAGGTTGCATCGCGGGGAAAATGAGCCAAGTTCAACTTCTGCGACGAGCGACGAGTGATGCGCATCACTTTCTACACGGCAGGCGCACGTGACACAAGTTTTGCGGCTCGCGTACGGTTTTGGACTGTGCGTGCCCTCCTGGATTTCGCTGGGATGTGCCGTGCATTGTGCATCGAAGATTCTTTGCACGATATGAAAAGACTGTCTTTCGACGCTCATCGCCTCGGAGAAGTGATATAGTGCATCGCGCTTTAGTTGTACAAGTACTGGTGTGCATGTCCAGCTGTACATTCATCCATTTACTGTAATGCTGTGTGAGGTTTATCCTGTAAAACACGCAGGAAGTCGCAAAAGTTGCACTTTAGTCAACTACTGTGGCAGTGTCCTTGCGACTGCATGTGACTATACGCAATGAGCATTTCCTTGTCTCGAGTATCACATGTCACATAACAAAATACAGATAGTGTCAATGGTGCTTCAAGCGAGGTTCTCAAGAATAACGCGGCCATTTCATTCTGTGTGAGCCCGGCGAATGCCATACTAGTAATATGCTGTGGAAGTGCTGACGTCACGCTGCTTGAACACTCCTACTTACACGAAACACGGAATATGTGAAATAGGTCCAGTTTGGATTTGTCGTAACTCAAAGTTTCATGCCACTGCAATCATCAGACAAATGATAATAAAAACCTAAGACTAGTCATTATGAATCAGATCATGCGTGATACTTAGCACTTAGATTGACATTACTCTACTCGATTCAACGAATGAAGGCCAATATCACACAGATGTTATGGATGATGTGAGGGATAAGTAATGGAATAATGTTGGCACTGACATATGTCAAACTAGTCTTAGTTGTGATGGTTAAATATAAATATTAGCACTGATGCATGCCAAAACCAGTCATGACTGTGCCGGGTACTGTCCTTGCATGGCAGATACGACTGGCTACTACTTGTTCTACTATGTCACGCTAGGTGTGAAGTTGTTTATGTACTTCCTCCACGTCATTAAAATTGTCGCTTCCCAGAGCGATTTTTCAAATCTATTTTGTCCACTCGAAGGGCAAAGAAATCAGCTAGAAATTGAGGCAGAGTATTGTGGACGGACGGGCTTTAGTTTGCGGCCTGCGCATAAGACATGCTAGCCAGTTCACACCGTAATACTGGTGGGTGGAACTGTACATAATCAGTCCAGTATGGCCGCACTCTCCGAACAGGTGCTGGTCTTCTGCATTCAATTTTATAATAATTATTATCCCGTACTGCAGTTGAGTAACTCAATCTAAACTCCCACATCACACATGCTGTAATAGAGCTGGTAGTCAACACAGCAGCAGGGATGGTGATGGGGATGGGGATGGTGATGGGGATGGTGATGGGGATGGGGATGGGGATGGGGATGGGGATGGGGATGGGGATGGGGATGGTGATGGTGATGGTGATCTATTCACTGTACTTTATGGTATAACAGGGTTGCCGCCGGGGTTGCCACGCTACAAGAACATGCCAAATTCTCAGTTTTGTAGGATAGCGTCAATCATATCCCAACCCTTCTGGGCAGACATTGTTCAGAAGGAGCTCAGATGGGGAAAATGTTCGTATAATGAGAGAGTGACATAGGGCTCATACAAGGACTATGTATATGTACATGCATGCCATACAGTTTCATCGTCGAAAATGCATACCACCATGCATTGACGCCGGGCATTCTAGCAGCACACACTAACCTGGTATATCTACAGACTACACGACTGCACTGGTGAACTCAAGGACTGCATTGTGCATCTTTTTATTGCTTATATTTTTTGAAACTTTGGAGGACCTGCCATTCCAGGTAATCGGCCTTCCGGCTGCCATTCCGATACTTGATCTTGCGGATAGATGATGTGGGGATAATCTATGTTCCACTGTATTCGTGTGATACTTTTCTTTGCCTTCAGACGTGCATCGGACTGAACTGTTGGCCACTGTAATGCATGCCATTGCTGCTGCAAACATCTACAGTGATGCAGTGGACATCAACGATCAACTTTAAATTTTTCATGTGTCTGAAAAAATATTTTTTTCTGAGTGTGCTGCTTGTTTGCCGCTTGTTGCCGCTATCTTGGTTGTTGTTTGTGGATCATGGTCGTCGTTATGTCATAGCAGTGGGCTTGTGCACGTGTGTGTGATGAGGAGATGCTCCCCGCATGAAACTAACGGTTGCCAGCATGACTGCTTGTACCCCATGGCCTTACAAGGAGCGCAACATGTATTCTTCCCCTATTGTCAACCACTCAGCAGTTTACAGATTGTTGAATTCTAATGCCGGGAGAGCTGGGTGATTGGATGTGACATCGTTGCTTGTAACGTGCAGTGTACCATGCTTCTGTGGCATTGTCCTGTGCAGGGCCTCGGGGGCCTTCCTGCCGCTTGAAACGTACACCCCATGCTACTGTCATATTCGATTAGTTGTTCAGTATAATTCTATTGTTAGCAGTAAGGTGTGTGTGTGTGTGTGTGTGTGTGTGTGTGTGTGTGTGTGTGTGTGTGTGTGTGTGTGTGTGTGTGTGTGTGTGTGTGTGTGTGTGTGTGTGTGTGTGTGTGTGTGAAAGAAATGAAAAAGACCAAAAATAGGGATTCACTGGCCAGAAAATGTCACTCCAAATAGCTGTATGGTGTAGACCAGGCTGAATAGTGACGGTCAATTCTTCAGCTTTGCAAGCTGTTGAATGGTGTGATCCCAGCACAAGTTGCTATGGCTTCTGCCGTAGCATTGCTATCATCGCCTCCGGTGATGGGCGTCAAAGGTGTGTGTGTGTGTGTGTGTGTGTGTGTGTGTGAGCGATGGGAGAAAGGAGATATTTGGATGTTACGGCATTCAGTGTCTGGTTTGAGTGCTGTTTGAAATAGGGTTGTGATTGGGTACTAGGGTATCCATACTGGTATGGTTGCCTCCACGGAATTGCAGCTTTTAGCAGAGTGTGCTTATATGTGTGTGTGGGGGGGGGAGGGGGGCTATGCAACCCTGCTTTGGTTGTAGAGTTGCTCAATGAAATCCTTTCCCGTGAGTCAAGTAGGCGCTGCCCTATTCGCAGCCCAGCCCGGTGGGCACAGGTCTAGGGCAACATACTTTTTAAGTCACTCGTTCGTGGGATTTAATTGCACGGTAAAGGAGTAAGGACTTCAGCCCTCGGCAATCCTTCTTAGTGTGCTGATGACCGAAGTCCCTACTCATACTGAACTCTGATTGCTTGAATTTTAGAATTCCCCAAGCCGGCGAAGAGAATTCTAATGTCGGGAGAGCTGGGTGATTGGATGTGACATCGTGTACCATGCTTCTGCGGCATTGTCCTGTGCAGGGCCTCGGCGCCTCCCTGCTGCTTCAAACGTACACCCCATGCTACTGTCATATTCGATTAGTTGTGCGGTACAATTATAATGTTAGCGGTAAGGTGTTTGTGTGTATGTGAGCGTGTGTGTGTTTGTGTGTGTGTGTGAGAAAGCGATGGCAGAAAGGAGATACTTGGATGTCTGGCTCGAGTCCTGTTTGAAATAGGGTTGTGATTGGGTACTAGGGTATGCGTCCCTGCTTCAGGTAGAGTGTTGCTCAAAACCATGCCAGTTAGAGACACTGTGGCACCGAAAACAGTCCTTCCTACTTCCTCATACTGAACTCTGATTGACTGAATTTTAGAATTCTCTAAGCCGGCAGGGAGAATTCTGAAATGACTGGTCAACCGTCCTCAGCCAATCATAGTTCAGCAAGTGTTCTTGGTAAGGTGTTTGTGTTGTGTATGTGAGCGTGTGTTTGTGTGTGTGTGAGAAAGCGATGGCAGAAAGGAGATACTTGGATGTCTGGCTCGAGTCCTGTTTGAAATAGGGTTGTGATTGGGTACTAGGGTATGCGTCCCTGCTTCAGGTAGAGTGTTGCTCAAAACCATGCCAGTTAGAGACACTGTGGCACCGAAAACAGTTCTTCCTACTTCCTCATACTGAACTCTGATTGATAGAATTTTAGAATTCTCTAAGCCGGGAGGGAGAATTCTGAAATGACTGGTCAACCGCCCTCAGCCAATCATAGTTCAGCAAGTGTTTTCTTCTTGGCCTGCTGATGTCTGAACTCTTGCTGTTTTTTTGCATGAGGGAGGAATGTCTGAACTCTCGTTGTTTCTGCCCTAGAGAAGAAAATGATTACTTGTATAGCCTATCCTTGCACTGCACTTCACACCTGAAATGACTGGCCAACCGCCCTCGGCCAATCAGAGAGCAGCAAGTGTTTGCTTCTTACATTTTCTTCTCTAGGCCTGTTTCTCCTTCCTCACGCAGAATGCTGATGGCTGAACTCCTGTTGTTTCTGCGTGAGGAAGGAGAAACTGGCCTAGAGAAGAATGCTGATGTCTGAACTCCTGTTGTTTCTGCGTGAGGAAGGAGAAACTGGCCTAGAGAAGAATGCTGATGTCTGAACTCCTGTTGTTTCTGCGTGAGGAAGGAGAAACTGGCCTAGAGAAGAATGCTGATGTCTGAACTCCTGTTGTTTCTGCGTGAGGAAGGAGAAACAAGCCTAGAGAAGAAAATCTAAATTCTGGCCATCCCAAACCCCGACCACCATCCCCTCCTGGAATGATTACTTTTATAGCCTATCCTGGCACACTGCACTTCACACCTGAAATGACTGGCCAACCGCCCTCGGCCAATCAGAGAGCAGCAAGTGTTTGCTCTTGGCTTGCTGATGGCTGAACTCTTGTTGTTTCTGCATGAGGAAGGAGAAACAAGCAGGAAAATTCTACCGGAGAAGAAAATCTTAGAAGTCTCTTCTCCGGCTTGCTGATTGATCTCTGTCTCTCTCCCCCCCCCCCCTCTCTCTCTGTCCATTTACAAAAGGAGTTAATTTTGACAAAATCTATCTCCGAATTGGAATATTTGAACAGGCGCTTTAGCTGATTCTGTTTATTGCCATCTTTTAAAATCTATCTCCACTAATCTATCTCACCGTGCTGGACATGGCAATCTTGGCTGAGGTATCGAAAAGTTGGAAACTCAGATTTACAAGGTTTTGTCTAGACTTTCCCGTTAGCAACAGTAAATAGCGTGCACCAAGGTCATTAGAAATCTCCATACATAAAGTACACTACATTGGCACCAGCAATGCAATGCAGTATATAATCCAGTGGAGTGCGGGCCAGCGGATTTTGTCCCGTAACCAAAGCAGTCGAGTGTGCACATCTTTAGCAGCCCGGCAGTATATTATTGATAGGAGTGAAGTACAAGTTCCATTATAATCGAACAGGCCACTCATCCCAATACAATGAAGTGCTGGTCATATTTCGCTATACCAGACACAATGTATCTGCACAGTAACACAAAGCGTATGTATATTCTAAAATGCAAAGCAGTGTGCGTGCGGAGTGTTCTTTCAAGAGGGCACGAGTCATTGTAATCTCCAGGTACCTTGTCAACTCTTCCTTATAGAAACATGTTCAGATGTAATTAAAGCTGCTCGAGGTCCTGTTCATTTGGCTCCCGGTCTGCAGGGTTGTGGTTGGAAATTCTTTGCACAGCCTTTCATCACCACAACTTTTGTGTCTCAGCTGGCCTCCTCCTGAGAAAAACGAGAGTAACGAACAAGAAAATACACCCGTGCATACACACATGCATGCAAAAGTGCACGCATTTATACACACACACACACACACACACATCTTTATTATTATTTATTTATTTATTTATTACAGCATCTCATAGCACAGTGAGAACACCGGCCAATATACACACACACACACACATATACAAACATACACAAACATATACATATACAAACATACATGTTCATACATGTACACATACACAAACATATACATATACAAACATACATGTTCATACATGTACACACACATTTTGTAATTGTACTTGCTTCCTTCCATAACTGGTCACATGGGTCTCCCCGGCAGAGGGGAGAGAGATGAAAAAGGAATCTTGGAAAGATGTCTCAATTGGCTATTAAACTGCTTAACGGCCGACACCCCCTGAATTCGTCAAACTCTTGGTGAACTTGACTTGGACTGGGTGGAAAATATTCCACTTCTGGGCTCGCCACACCTCAGTATGTGGGTGAGGACAAGGTGCAGAACCAGGGTTGACGGCATTAGGGCATCCGTCCCGGGATCCAATTGCAGTTACCACTGCCCCCGGTGACGGTAATACTTACTTACTTACACACCCACACACACACAAACACCATGTACCATGTACCATGTACCATGTACCATGTATACAACCGTCGCAAGAGAAGCACGCAAATCTGCAAATGCACTGGATGTGCTTCCACAGATTTTCTCTTATAGCAACGATAGCGAACAAGACACACACACACACACACACACACGATTGGACCATTGGATGCCCATCGCCAGAGGCAATGGTTGCGATGCTACGGCAGAAGCCATAGCAGCTTGTGCTGGGATTGCACCATTCAACAGCTTGCACGGCTGAAGAATTGACCGCCACTATTCAGCCTGGTCTACACCACACAGCTATGAAGTGGCTTTTTCTGGCCAGTGAATCCCTACACACACACCTCAGACCTCAGACTTGCCCATCGCGGAAGCGATGATAGCGAACAGCTATGTTAGGCATAGCAACTTGTACTGGGATTACACCACACACACACACACACACACACACACACACACACACACACACACACACACACACACACACACACACACACACACACACACACACACACACACACACACACACACACACACACACACACACACACACACACACACACACACACACACACACACACACACACACACACACACACACACACACACACACACACACACACACACACACACACACACACACACACACACACACACACACACACACACACACACACACACACACACACACACACACACACACACACACACACACACACACACACACACACACACACACACACACACACACACACACACACACACACACACACACACACACACACACACACACACACACACACACACACACACACACACACACACACACACACACACACACACACACACACACACACACACACACACACACACACACACACACACACACACACACACACACACACACACACACACACACACACACACACACACACACACACACACACACACACACACACACACACACACACACACACACACACACACACACACACACACACACACACACACACACACACACACACACACACACACACACACACACACACACACACACACACACACACACACACACACACACACACACACACACACACACACACACACACACACACACACACACACACACACACACACACACACACACACACACACACACACACACACACACACACACACACACACACACACACACACACACACACACACACACACACACACACACACACACACACACACACACACACACACACACACACACACACACACACACACACACACACACACACACACACACACACACACACACACACACACACACACACACACACACACACACACACACACACACACACACACACACACACACACACACACACACACACACACACACACACACACACACACACACACACACACACACACACACACACACACACACACACACACACACACACACACACACACACACACACACACACACACACACACACACACACACACACACACACACACACACACACACACACACACACACACACACACACACACACACACACACACACACACACACACACACACACACACACACACACACACACACACACACACACACACACACACACACACACACACACACACACACACACACACACACACACACACACACACACACACACACACACACACACACACACACACACACACACACACACACACACACACACACACACACACACACACACACACACACACACACACACACACACACACACACACACACACACACACACACACACACACACACACACACACACACACACACACACACACACACACACACACACACACACACACACACACACACACACACACACACACACACACACACACACACACACACACACACACACACACACACACACACACACACACACACACACACACACACACACACACACACACACACACACACACACACACACACACACACACACACACACACACACACACACACACACACACACACACACACACACACACACACACACACACACACACACACACACACACACACACACACACACACACACACACACACACACACACACACACACACACACACACACACACACACACACACACACACACACACACACACACACACACACACACACACACACACACACATACACACACACACACACACACGCACACACCAAACATGGCAATGAGCTACACATATCTTCCTATTACAGTAGAGTCGCGTGTCCAAGAATGTTGTTTCCAAGGGGTTAGTCTGGGGCATTCATATTTTGTTGGGCAATCTGGCTGCGTTCTTATAGCACGTTCTAGGAAACAATTCGTACTGGATCATATCTATCCCAAAAGCCGCCGGAAAATCAACACTGCCATTCTTAACTTAGGGCTGTGGCGTTCACAGCATTTCATGCAGGACGTTCTAGGGCCCGACGTTCTTCATTGCGCGACTCTACTGTACTTCACTGTACTCTACTGTACTAAAATTACCTAATGCCCAAATCAATGCGATCACTCACATCACAACCGGGTCATGCTATAGAGAGGTACGTTGAAAGTGCCACGTGGGTACAAATGGTCAAAAGCGACAATTTCTCACCTTTCTTCTCGTTTGAAGCTCAAGAACCGACCATCGCCACCCTCCTCTTGTTGTGTAGCTGGACATAGGGAAGTGCACCAAGAAAAAAAGCCACATTTCATTAAACAACTCGCCCCGGGCTGCTGAAAGCTGAAAAGAAACAATCTCCCAGTTTTGGGCCTTTTTGCCCGTGATTCTTCACTTTGCGACTAAAATATTCACAGCAGTGCCACATTTTCGGCGTCACTGAATGCGGGTGCCAGCGGCCTGCAAGCAAACCAAAAATAAAATCAATGCGACCACTCACATCACAGCTGGGTTATGTTCAATGCGACGATACGTGACTGGCTTGAGGACAGTTCCATAGTGCACGGCAGGGCGCCCAGCTCTGGTTGCACGCCGTAGCGGCGTGAGCTGGGCGCGGTGAGGGTTGGTGACAACTACAGTTTCCGTCTTCCTCCTCCGGAAACTTCCATTCAATGCGACTACTCACATCACTGCCGGATCATGTTATAGAGAGGTACGTGGAAAGTGACACGTGGGCACAAATGGTCAAAAAGCGACAATTTCTCACCTTTCTGCCCGTTCGAAGCTCAACAACTGACCATCGCCACCCTCATCTTGTTGTGTAGCTGGATATAGGGAAGTGCACCAAGAAAAAATGCCACATTTCAATAAAAAAACTTGCCCAGGGCTGCGGAATGCTGAAAAGAAACAATCTCCCAGTTTGGGCTTTTTTGCCCGTGATTCTTCACTTTGTGACTAAACTATTCACAGCAATGCCAAACTTTCGGCGTCACTTAATGCGGGTGCCAGCGCCCTACAAGCAAACCAAAACTAAAATCAATGCGACCACTCACATCACAGCCGGGTCATGTTATAGAGAGGTACGTTGAAAGTGACACGCGGGCACAAATGGTCAAAAAGCAACAATTTCTCACCTTTCTGCCCGTTCAAAACTCAAGAACTGACCATCGCCACCCTCATCGTGTTGTATAACTGCACATAGGGAAGTGCACCAAAATAATGCCACATTTCAAAAAAACAACGCGCCCAGGGCTGCTGAATGCTGAAAAGAAACAATCTCCCAGTTTTTGGGCTTTTTTGCAGGTGATTCTACACTTTGCGACTAAACTATTCACAACAGTGCCAAATTTTCGGAGTCGCTGAATGCTGGTGCCAGCGGCCTACAAACAATCCAAAAATTAAGTTATCACTCCCCCTCACATCACAGCCGGGTCATGTTATAGAGAGGTACGTTGAAAGTGACACGTGGGCACAAATGGTCAAAATGCGACAATTTCTCACCTTTCTGCACGTTCGAAGCTCGACAACTGACCATCGCCACCCTTATCTTGTTGTGTAGCTGGACATAGGGAAGTGCACGAAGAAAAAATGCCACATTTCAATAAACAACTCGCTCAGGGCTGCTGAATGCTAAAAAAAACAATCTCCCAGTTTTGGGTCTTTTTGCCCGTGATTCTTCACTTTGCGACTAAACTATTCACAGCAATGCCAAATTTTTGGCGTCACTGAATCCGGGTGCCAGCGGTCTACAAGCAAACCAAAACTAAAATCAATGCGACCACTCACATCACAGCCGGGTCATGTTATAGAGAGGTACGTTGAAAGTGACACGCGGGCACAAATGGTCAAAAAGCAACAATTTCTCACCTTTCTGCCCGTTCAAAACTCAAGAACTGACCATCGCCACCCTCATCGTGTTGTATAACTGCACATAGAGAAGTGCACCAAAATAATGCCACATTTCAAAAAAACAACGCGCCCAGGGCTGCTGAATGCTGAAAAGAAACAATCTCCCAGTTTTTGGGCTTTTTTTGCAGGTGATTCTACACTTTGCGACTAAACTATTCACAACAGTGCCAAATTTTCGGAGTCGCTGAATGCTGGTGCCAGCGGCCTACAAACAATCCAAAAATTAAATTATCACTCCCCCTCACATCACAGCCGGGTCATGGTATAGAGAGGTACGTTGAAAGTGACACGTGGGCACAAATGGTCAAAATGCGACAATTTCTCACCTTTCTGCACGTTCGAAGCTCGACAACTGACCATCGCCACCCTTATCTTGTTGTGTAGCTGGACATAGGGAAGTGCACGAAGAAAAAATGCCACATTTCAATAAACAACTCGCTCAGGGCTGCTAAATGCTAAAAAAAAACAATCTCCCAGTTTTGGGTCTTTTTGCCCGTGATTCTTCACTTTGCGACTAAACTATTCACAGCAATGCCAAATTTTCGGCGTCACTGAATCCGGGTGCCAGCGGTCTACAAGCAAACCAAAAATCAAATCAATGCGACCACTCACATCACAGCTGGGTCATGTTATAGAGAGGTACGTTGAAAGTGACACGCGGGCACAAATGGTCAAAAAGCAACAATTTCTCACCTTTCTGCCCGTTCGAAACTCAAGAACTGACCATCGCCACCCTCATCGTGTTATATAACTGGACATAGGGAAGTGCACCAAAAAAAAGCCACATTTCAATAAACATCGCGCCCAGGGCTGCTGAATGCTGAAAAGAACCAATCTCCCAGTTTTGGGCCTTTTTGCGACTAAACTATTCACAGCAGTGCCAAATTCTCGGTGTCACTGAATGCTGGTGCCAGCGGCCTACAAGCAAACCAAAAATTTAATTATCACTCCCCCCCCCCCTCACGTGACCGCGGACTCCTGCATATACACTCACACAATAACCACACAACTGTTTGGGGATAGCGCGCTTCTTGTATCATGCCAAACTTGACACAACGAGTCCAGCTTGACTCAGCTGAGTCCCTAACTGCTATTTACTGCTCTAACATGAAGCCGTGCCTGGAAGAAGGGAAAGAGCGAAAAAAGAAAAAAAATTCTGGCCTTCTGCAAGCAATAGCAAGTAATGAGTGGCGGCTGTGTAAAGTCGCACAACCGTGAAGTCGACCGGATGATGGTGAGTGTCTGGCACACATCTTGCTCTGCTGCTCCACCTGCGCATACCTGATATGGTGGTGCGCTTACGGGCGGGATGCCTGGGCCCCAGATGCCTCCCTGATGCGCCACAGGGTGCAGTTGAAGCACCTGTATCACTTCGGTGATCCAAATGCGAATGCAGCCTTGCCGGTCACCCGCCGGCCTGCCGCCTACGCGACCAGCCTGAGACTGGCCCTGCCGCATTTGGCGCTTCTAAAATCTGCAATCCGGTAGACAGCTCACTGGGCTGCCAAATACGTGACTGGCTTGAGGACAGTTCCATCTATCTCCTATCTAGGAGTTTGGGGCTTTTTACCCCGTGAATCTTCACTTTGCGACTAAACTATTCACAGCAGTGCCAAATTTTCTGGGTCACTGAATGCGGGTGCCAGCGCCCTACAAGCAAAACGAAAATGAAACCAATGCGACCGCTGAAATTACAGCTGGGTCATGTTATAGAGAGGTACGTTAAAATTGAAAGGTCAGCACAAATGGTCAAAATCCGACATTTTCTCACCTTTCTGCCCGTTTGTAGCTCAGAAAATGACAATGACCATCCTCATCTCGTTGTCTAGCTGGACATAGAAAATAGCACCATGAAAAAGAGCCACATTTCTCTAAAGAACTCACCCAGGGCTGCTGAAAGCTGAAAAAGAACCTATCTAGAAGTTTGGGGCTTTTTACCCGTGAATCTTCACTTTGCGACTAAACTGTTCACAGCAGTGCCAAATTTTCTGGGTCACTGAATGCGGGTGCCAGCGCCCTACAAGCAAACCAAAAATGAAACCAATGCGACCACTGAAATTACAGCTGGGTCGTGTTATAGAGAGGTACGTTGAAATTGAAAGGTCAGCACAAATGGTCAAAATCCGACATTTTCTCACCTTTCTGCCCGTTCGCAGCTCAGAAAATGACAATGACCATCCTCATCTCGTTGTGTAGCTGGACATAGAAAATAGCACCATGAAAAAGAGCCACATTTCTCTAAAGAACTCACCCAGGGCTGCTGAAAGCTGAAAAAGAACCTATCTAGAAGTTTGGGGCTTTTTAAGCGTGAACCTTCACTTTGCGACTAAACTATTCACAGCAGTGCCAAATTTTCTGGGTCACTGAATGCGGGTGCCAGCGCCCTACAAGCAAACCAAAAATGAAACCAATGCGACCACTGAAATTACAACTGGGTCATGTTATAGAGAGGTACGTTGAAATTGAAAGGTCAGCACAAATGGTCAAAATCCGACATTTTCTCACCTTTCTGCCCGTTCGCAGCTCAGAAAATGACAATGACCATCCTCATCTCGTTGTGTAGCTGGACATAGAAAATAGCACCATGAAAAAGAGCCACATTTCTCTAAAGAACTCACCCAGGGCTTCTGAAAGCTGATAAAGAACCTATCTAGAAGTTTGGGGCTTTTTACCCGTGAATCTTCACTTTGCGACTAAACTATTCACAGCAGTGCCAAATTTTCTGGGTCACTGAATGCGGGTGCCAGCGCCCTACAAGCAAACCAAAAATGAAACCAATGCGACCACTGAAATTACAGCTGCGTCATGTTATAGAGAGGTACGTTGAAATTGAAAGGTCAGCACAAATGGTCAAAATCCGACATTTTCTCACCTTTCTGCCCGTTCGCAGCTCAGAAAATGACAATGACCATCCTCATCTCGTTGTGTAGCTGGACTTAGAAAATAGCACCATGAAAAAGAGCCACATTTCTCTAAAGAACTCACCCAGGGCTGCTGAAAGCTGAAAAAGAACCTATCTAGGAGTTTGGGGCATTTTACCCGTGAATCTTCACTTTGCGACCTAAACTATTCACAGCAGTGCCAAATTTTCTAGGTCACTGAATGCGGGTGCCAGCGCCCTACAAGCAAACCAAAAATGAAACCAATGCGACCACTGAAATTACAGCTGGGGCATGTTATAGAGAGGTACGTTGAAATTGAAAGGTCAGCACAAATGGTCAAAATCCGACATTTTCTCACCTTTCTGCCCGTTCGCAGCTCAGAAAATGACAATGACCATCCTCATCTCGTTGTGTAGCTGGACATAGAAAATAGCACCATGAAAAAGAGCCACATTTCTCTAAAGAACTCACCCAGGGCTGCTGAAAGCTGAAAAAGAACCTATCTAGAAGTTTGGGGCTTTTTACCCGTGAATCTTCACTTTGCGACTGAACTATTCACAGCAGTGCCAAATTTTCTGGGTCACTGAATGCGGGTGCCAGCGCCCTACAAGCAAACCAAAAATGAAACCAATGCGACCACTGAAATTACAGCTGGGTCATGTTATAGAGAGGTACGTTGAAATTGAAAGGTCAGCACAAATGGTCAAAATCCGACATTTTCTCACCTTTCTGCCCGTTCGCAGCTCAGAAAATGACAATGACCATCCTCATCTCGTTGTGTAGCTGGACTTAGAAAATAGCACCATGAAAAAGAGCCACATTTCTCTAAAGAACTCACCCAGGGCTGCTGAAAGCTGAAAAAGAACCTATCTAGGAGTTTGGGGCATTTTACCCGTGAATCTTCACTTTGCGACCTAAACTATTCACAGCAGTGCCAAATTTTCTAGGTCACTGAATGCGGGTGCCAGCGCCCTACAAGCAAACCAAAAATGAAACCAATGCGACCACTGAAATTACAGCTGGGGCATGTTATAGAGAGGTACGTTGAAATTGAAAGGTCAGCACAAATGGTCAAAATCCGACATTTTCTCACCTTTCTGCCCGTTCGCAGCTCAGAAAATGACAATGACCATCCTCATCTCGTTGTGTAGCTGGACATAGAAAATAGCACCATGAAAAAGAGCCACATTTCTCTAAAGAACTCACCCAGGGCTGCTGAAAGCTGAAAAAGAACCTATCTAGAAGTTTGGGGCTTTTTACCCGTGAATCTTCACTTTGCGACTGAACTATTCACAGCAGTGCCAAATTTTCTGGGTCACTGAATGCGGGTGCCAGCGCCCTACAAGCAAACCAAAAATGAAACCAATGCGACCACTGAAATTACAGCTGGGTCATGTTATAGAGAGGTACGTTGAAATTGAAAGGTCAGCACAAATGGTCAAAATCCGACATTTTCTCACCTTTCTGCCCGTTCGCAGCTCAGAAAATGACAATGACCATCCTCATCTCGTTGGCTAGCTGGACATAGACAAGAGCACCATGAACAAAGTCACATTTCTCTAAAGAACTCGCCACGGGCTGCTGAAAGCTGAAAAAGAACCTATCTAGGAGTTTGGGGCTTTTTACCCCGTGAATCTTCACTTTGCGACTAAACTATTCACAGCAGTGTCAAATTTTCTAGGTCACTGAATGCGGGTGCTAGCGCCCTACAAACAAACCAAAAATGAAACCAATGCGACCACTGAAATTACAGCTGGGTCATGTTATAGAGAGGTACGTTGAAATTGAAAGGTCAGCACAAATGGTCAAAATCCGACATTTTCTCACCTTTCTGCCCGTTCGCAGCTCAGAAAATGACAATGACCATCCTCATCTCGTTGTGTAGCTGGACATAGAAAATAGCACCATGAAAAAGAGCCACATTTCTCTAAAGAACTCACCCAGGGCTGCTGAAAGCTGAAAAAGAACCTATCTAGAAGTTTGGGGCATTTTACCCGTGAATCTTCACTTTGCGACTAAACTATTCACAGCAGTGCCAAAATATCTGGGTCACTGAATGCGGGTGCCAGCGCCCTACAAGCAAACCAAAAATCAAATAAATGCGACCACTGACATTACAGCTGGTTCATGTTATAGAGAGGTACGTTGAAATTAAAAGGTCAGCACAACTGGTCAAAATTCGAAATTTTCTCACCTTTCTGCCCGTTCGCAGCTCATAAAATGACAATGACCATCCTCATCTCGTTGTGTAGCTGGACATAGAAAAGAGCACCATGAAAAAGAGCCACATTTCTCTAAAGAACTCACCCAGGGCTGCTGAAAGCTGAAAAAGAACCTATCTAGAAGTTTGGGGCTTTTTACCCGTGAATCTTCACTTTGCGACTAAACTATTCACAGCAGTGCCAAATTTTCTGGGTCACTGAATGCGGGTGCCAGCGCCCTACAAGCAAACCAAAAATGAAACCAATGCGACCACTGAAATTACAGCTGGGTCATGTTATAGAGAGGTACGTTGAAATTGAAAGGTCAGCACAAATGGTCAAAATCCGACATTTTCTCACCTTTCTGCCAGTTCGCAGCTCAGAAAATGACAATGACCATCCTCATCTCGTTGGCTAGCTAGACATAGACAAGAGCACCAAGAAAAAGACCCACATTTCTCTAAAGAACCCGCCCAGGGCTGCTGAAAGCTGAAAAAGAACCTATCTAGAAGTTTGGGGCTTTTTACCCGTGAATCTTCACTTTGCGACTAAACTATTCACAGCAGTGCCAAATTTTCTGGGTCACTGAATTCAGTTGCCAGCGCCCTACAAGCAAACCAAAAATGAAACCAATGCGACCACTGAAATTACAGCTGGGTCATGTTATAGAGAGGTAAGTTGAAATTGACAAGAGCACCAAGAAAAAGACCCACATTACTCAAAAGAACTCACCCAGGGCTGCTGAAAGCTGAAAAAGAACCTATCTAGGAGTTTGGGGCTTTTTACCCGTGAATCTTCACTTTGCGACTAAACTATTCACAGCAGTGCAAAATTTTCTAGGTCACTGAATGCGGGTGCCAGCGCCCTACAAGCAAACCAAAAATGAAACCAATGCGACCACTGAAATTACAGCTGGGTCATGTTATAGAGAGGTACGTTGAAATTGAAAGGTCAGCACAAATGGTCAAAATCCGACATTTTCTCACCTTTCTGCCCGTTCGCAGCTCAGAAAATGACAATGACCATCCTCATCTCGTTGTGTAGCTGGACATAGAAAATAGCACCATGAAAAAGAGCCACATTTCTCTAAAGAACTCACCCAGGGCTGCTGAAAGCTGAAAAGAACCTATTTAGAAGTTTGGGGCATTTTACCCGTGAATCTTCACTTTACGACTAAACTATTCACAGCAGTGCCAAATTTTCTGGGTCACTGAATGCGGGTGCCAGCGCCCTACAAGCAAACCAAAAATGAAACCAATGCGACCACTGAAATTACAGCTGGGTCATGTTATAGAGAGGTACGTTGAAATTGAAAGGTCAGCACAAATGGTCAAAATCTGACATTTTCTCACCTTTCTGCCCGTTCGCAGCTCAGAAAATGACAATGACCATCCTCATCTCGATGTGTAGCTGGACATAGAAAATAGCACCATGAAAAAGAGCCACATTTCTCTAAAGAACTCACCCAGGGCTGCTGAAAGCTGAAAAAGAACCTATCTAGGAGTTTGGGGCTTTTTAACCCGTGAATCTTCACTTTGCGACTAAAATATTCACAGCAGTGCCAAATTTTCTGGGTCACTGAATGCGGGTGCCAGCGCCCTACAAGCAAACCAAAAATGAAACCAATGCGACCACTGAAATTACAGCTGGGTCATGTTATAGAGAGGTACGTTGAAATTGAAAGGTCAGCACAAATGGTCAAAATCCGACATTTTCTCACCTTACTGCCCGTTCGTAGCTCAGAAAATGACAATGACCATCCTCATCTCGTTGTGTAGGTGGACATAGAAAATAGCACCATGAAAAAGAGCCACATTTCTCCAAAGAACTCACCCAGGGCTGCTGAAAGCTGAAAAAGAACCTATCTAGAAGTTTGGGGCTTTTTACCCGTGAATCTTCACTTTGCGACTAAACTATTCACAGCAGTGCCAAATTTTCTGGGTCACTGAATGCGGGTGCCAGCGCCCTACAAGCAAACCAAAAATGAAACCAATGCGACCACTGAAATTACAGCTGGGTCATGTTATAGAGAGGTACGTTGAAATTGAAAGGTCAGCACAAATGGTCAAAATCCGACATTTTCTCACCTTTCTGCCCGTTCGCAGCTCAGAAAATGACAATGACCATCCTCAACTCGTTGGCTAGCAGGACATAGACAAGAGCACCATGAAAAAAGTCACATTTCTCTAAAGAACTCGCCACGGGCTGCTGAAAGCTGAAAAAGAACCTATCTAAAAGTTTGGGGCTTTTTACCCGTGAATCTTCACTTTGCGACTAAACTATTCACAGCAGTGCCAAATTTTCTGCGTCACTGAATGCGGGTGCCAGCGCCCTACAAGCAAACCAAAAATGAAACCAATGCGACCACTGAAATTACAGCTGGGTCATGTTATAGAGAGGTACGTTGAAATTGAAAGGTCAGCACAAATGGTCAAAATCCGACATTTTCTCACCTTTCTGCCCGTTCGCAGCTCAGAAAATGACAATGACCATCCTCATCTCGTTGTGTAGCTGGACATAGAAAAAAGCACCATGAAAAAGAGCCACATTTCTCTAAAGAACTCACCCAGGGCTGCTGAAAGCTGAAAAAGAACCTATCTAGAAGTTTGGGGCATTTTACCCGTGAATCTTCACTTTGCGACTAAACTATTCACAGCAGTGCCAAAGTATCTGGGTCACTGAATGGGGGTGCCAGCGCCATACAAGCAAACCAAAAAGCAAATAAATGCGACCACTGACATTACAGCTGGTTCATGTTATAGAGAGGTACGTTGAAATTAAAAGGTCAGCACAACTGGTCAAAATTCGAAATTTTCTCACCTTTCTGCCCGTTCGCAGCTCAGAAAATGACAATGACCATCCTCATCTCTAAACTATTCACAGCAGTGCCAAAATATCTGGGTCACTGAATGCGGGTGCCAGCGCCCTACAAGCAAACCAAAAATCAAACCAATGCGACCACTGAAATTACAGCTGGGTCATGTTATAGAGAGGTACGTTGAAATTGAAAGGTCAGCACAAATGGTCAAAATCCGACATTTTCTCACCTTTCTGCCCGTTCGCAGCTCAGAAAATGACAATGACCATCCTCATCTCGTTGTGTAGCTGGACATAGAAAATAGCACCATGAAAAAGAGCCACATTTCTCTAAAGAACTCACCCAGGGCTGCTGAAAGCTGAAAAAGAACCTATCTAGAAGTTTGGGGCATTTTACCCGTGAATCTTCACTTTGCGACTAAACTATTCACAGCAGTGCCAAAATATCTGGGTCACTGAATGGGGGTGCCAGCGCCCTACAAGCAAACCAAAAAGCAAATAAATGCGACCACTGACATTACAGCTGGTTCATGTTATAGAGAGGTACGTTGAAATTAAAAGGTCAGCACAACTGGCCAAAATTCGAAATTTTCTCACCTTTCTGCCCGTTCGCAGCTCATAAAATGACAATGACCATCCTCATCTCGTTGTGTAGCTGGACATAGAAAATAGCACCATGAAAAAGAGCCACATTTCTCTAAAGATCTCACCCAGGGCTGCTGAAAGCTGAAAAAGAACCTATCTAGAAGTTTGGGGCTTTTTACCCGTGAATCTTCACTTTGCGACTGAACTATTCACAGCAGTGCCAAATTTTCTGGGTCACTGAATGCGGGTGCCAGCGCCCTACAAGCAAACCAAAAATGAAACCAATGCGACCACTGAAATTACAGCTGGGTCATGTTATAGAGAGGTACGTTGAAATTGAAAGGTCAGCACAACTGGCCAAAATCCGACATTTTCTCACCTTTCTGCCCGTTCGCAGCTCAGAAAATGACAATGACCATCCTCATCTTGTTGGCTAGCTAGACATAGACAAGAGCACCAAGAAAAAGACCCACATTTCTCTAAAGAACCCGCCCAGGGCTGCTGAAAGCTGAAAAAGAACCTATCTAGAAGTTTGGGGCTTTTTACCCGTGAATCTTCACTTTGCGACTAAACTATTCACAGCAGTGCCAAATTTTCTGGGTCACTGAATGCGGGTGCCAGCGCCCTACAAGCAAACCAAAAATGAAACCAATGTGACCACTGAAATTACAGCTGGGTCATGTTATAGAGAGGTACGTTGAAATTGAAAGGTCAGGACAAATGGTCAAAATCCGACATTTTCTCGCCCTTCTGCCCGTTCGCAGCTCAGAAAATGAAAATGACCATCCTCATCTCGTTGTGTAGCTGGACATAGAAAATAGCACCATGGAAAAGAGCCACATTTCTCTAAGGAACTCACCCAGGGCTGCTGAAAGCTGATAAAGAACCTATCTAGAAGTTTGGGGCTTTTTACCTGTGAATCTTCACTTTGCGACTGAACTATTCACAGCAGTGCCAAATTTTCTGGGTCACTGAATGCGGGTGCCAGCGCCGTACAAGCAAACCAAAAATGAAACCAATGCGACCACTGAAATTACAGCTGGGTCATGTTATAGAGAGGTACGTTGAAATTGAAAGGTCAGCACAAATGGTCAAAATCCGACATTTTCTCAACTTTCTGCCCGTTCGTAGCTCAGAAAATGACAATGACCATCCTCATCTCGTTGTCTAGCTGGACATAGAAAATAGCACCATGAAAAAGAGCCACATTTCTCTAAAGAACTTACCCAGGGCTGCTGAAAGCTGAAAAAGAACCTATCTAGAAGTTTGGGGCTTTTTACCCGTGAATCTTCACTTTGCGACTAAACTATTCACAGCAGTGCCAAATTTTTAGGGTCACTGATTGTGGGTGCCAGCGCCCTACAAGCAAACCAAAATTGAAACCAATGCGACCGCTGACATTACACCTGGGTCATGTTATAGAGAGGTACGTTGAAATTGAAAGGTCAGCACAGATGGTCAAAATCCGACATTTTCTCACCTTTCTGCCCGTTCCCAGCTCAGAAAATGACAATGACCATCCTCATCTCGTTGGTTAGCTGGACGTAGACAAGAGCACCATGAAAAAGAGTCACATTTCTCTAAAGAACTCGCCCAGGGCTGCTGAAAGCTGAAAAAGAACCTATCTAGAAGTTTGGGGCTTTTTACCCATGAATCTTCACTTTGCGACTAAACTATTCACAGCAGTGCCAAATTTTCTGGGTCACTGAATTCAGTTGCCAGCGCCCTACAAGTAAACAGAAAAATGAAACCAATGCGACCACTGAAATTACAGCTGGGTCATGTTATAGAGAGGTACGTTGAAATTGACAAGAGCACCAAGAAAAAGACCCACATTTCTCAAAAGAACTCGCCCAGGGCTCCTGAAAGCTGAAAAAGAACCTATCTAGAAGTTTGGGGCTTTTTACCCCGTGAATCTTCACTTTGCGGCTAAACTATTCACAGCAGTGCCAAATTGTTAGGGTCACTGATTGTGGGTGCCAGCGCCCTACAAGCAAACCAAAAATGAAACCAATGCGACCACTGAAATTACAGCTGGTTCATGTTATAGAGAGGTACGTTGAAATTAAAAGGTCAGCACAAATGGTCAAAATCCGACATTTTCTCACCTTTCTGCCCGTTCGCTGCTCAGAAAATGACAATGACCATCCTCATCTCGTTGTGTAGCTTGACATAGACAAGAGCACCATGAAAAAGACCCACATTTCTCTAAAGAACTCACCCAGGGCTGCTGAAAGCTGAAAAAGAACCTATCTAGAAGTTTGGGGCTTTTTAACCGTGAATCTTCACTTTGCGACTAAACTATTCACAGCTGTGCCAAAATTTTTAGGGTCACTGATTGTGGGTGCCAGCGCCCTACAAGCAAACAAAAAATCAAACCAATGCCACCACTGACATTACATCTGGGTCATGTTATAGAGAGGTAGGTTGAAATTGAAAGGTCAGCACAAATGGTCAAAATCCGACATTCTCTCACCTTTCTGCCCGTTCCCAGCTCAGAAAATGACAATGACCATCCTCATCTCGTTGTGTAGCTGGACATAGAAAATTGCATCATGAAAAAGAGCCACATTTCTCTAAGACACTCACCCAGGGCTGCTGAAAGCTGAAAAAGAACCTATCTAGAAGTTTGGGGCTTTTTACCAATGAATCTTCACTTTGCGTCTAAACTATTCACAGCAGTGCCAAAATTTCTGCGTCACTGAATGCAGGTGCCAGCGCCCTACAAGCAAACCAAAAATGAAACCAATGCGACCACTGAAATTACAGCTGGGTCATGTTATAGAGAGGTACGTTGAAATTGAAAGGTCAGCACAAATGGTCAAAATCCGACATTTTCTCACCTTTCTGCCCGTTCGCAGCTCAGAAAATGACAATGACCATCCTCATCTCGTGGTGTAGCTGGACATAGAAAATAGCACCATGAAAAAGAGCCACATTTCTCTAAAGAACTCACCCAGGGCTGCTGAAAGCTGAAAAAGAACCTATCTAGAAGTTTGGGGCTTTTTACCCGTGAATCTTCACTTTGCGACTAAACTATTCACAGCAGTGCCAAAATATCTGGTTTACTGAATGCGGGTGCCAGCGCCCTACAAGCAAACCAAAAATGAAACCAATGCGACCACTGAAATTACAGCTGGGTCATGTTATAGAGAGGTACGTTGAAATTGAAAGGTCAGCACAAATGGTCAAAATCCGACATTTTCTCACCTTTCTGCCCGTTCGCAGCTCATAAAATGACAATGACCATCCTCATCTCGTTGTGTAGCTGGACATAGAAAATAGCACCATGAAAAAGAGCCACATTTCTCTAAAGAACTCACCCAGGGCTGCTGAAAGCTGAAAAAGAACCTATCTAGAAGTTTGGGGCGTTTTACCCGTGAATCTTCACTTTGCGACTAAACTATTCACAGCAGTGCCAAATTTTCTGGGTCACTGAATGCGGGTGCCAGCGCCCTACAAGCAAACCAAAAATGAAACCAATGCGACCACTGAAATTACAGCTGGGTCATGTTATAGAGAGGTACGTTGAAATTGAAAGGTCAGCACAAATGGTCAAAATCCGACATTTTCTCACCTTTCTGCCCGTTCGCAGCTCAGAAAATGACAATGACCATCCTCATCTCGTTGTGTAGCTGGACATAGAAAATAGCACCATGAAAAAGAGCCACATTTCTCTAAAGAACTCACCCAGGGCTGCTGAAAGCTGAAAAAGAACCTATCTAGAAGTTTGGGGCTTTTTATCCGTGAATCTTCACTTTGCGACTAAACTATTCACAGCAGTGCCAAAATATCTGGGTAACTGAATGTGGGTGCCAGCGCCCTACAAGCAAACCAAAAATGAAACCAATGCGACCACTGAAATTACAGCTGGGTCATGTTATAGAGAGGTACGTTGAAATTTAAAGGTCAGCACAAATGGTCAAAATCCGACATTTTCTCACCTTTCTGCCCAGTCGCAGCTCAGAAAATGACAATGACCATCCTCATCTCGTTGGTTAGCTGGACATAGACAAGAGCACCATGAAAAAGAGTCACATTTCTCTAAAGAACTCGCCCAAGGCTGCTGAAAGCTGAAAAAGAACCTATCTAGAAGTTTGGGGCTTTTTACCCGTGAATCTTCACTTTGCGACTAAACTATTCACAGCAGTGCCAAATTTTCTGGGTCACTGAATGCGGGTGCCAGCGCCCTACAAGCAAACCAAAAATGAAACCAATGCGACCACTGAAATTACAGCTGGGTCATGTTATAGAGAGGTACGTTGAAATTGAAAGGTCAGGACAAATGGTCAAAATCCGACATTTTCTCGCCCTTCTGCCCGTTCGCAGCTCAGAAAATGAAAATGACCATCCTCATCTCGTTGTGTAGCTGGACATAGAAAATAGCACCATGGAAAAGAGCCACATTTCTCTAAGGAACTCACCCAGGGCTGCTGAAAGCTGATAAAGAACCTATCTAGAAGTTTGGGGCTTTTTACCTGTGAATCTTCACTTTGCGACTGAACTATTCACAGCAGTGCCAAATTTTCTGGGTCACTGAATGCGGGTGCCAGCGCCGTACAAGCAAACCAAAAATGAAACCAATGCGACCACTGAAATTACAGCTGGGTCATGTTATAGAGAGGTACGTTGAAATTGAAAGGTCAGCACAAATGGTCAAAATCCGACATTTTCTCAACTTTCTGCCCGTTCGTAGCTCAGAAAATGACAATGACCATCCTCATCTCGTTGTCTAGCTGGACATAGAAAATAGCACCATGAAAAAGAGCCACATTTCTCTAAAGAACTTACCCAGGGCTGCTGAAAGCTGAAAAAGAACCTATCTAGAAGTTTGGGGCTTTTTACCCGTGAATCTTCACTTTGCGACTAAACTATTCACAGCAGTGCCAAATTTTTAGGGTCACTGATTGTGGGTGCCAGCGCCCTACAAGCAAACCAAAATTGAAACCAATGCGACCGCTGACATTACACCTGGGTCATGTTATAGAGAGGTACGTTGAAATTGAAAGGTCAGCACAGATGGTCAAAATCCGACATTTTCTCACCTTTCTGCCCGTTCCCAGCTCAGAAAATGACAATGACCATCCTCATCTCGTTGGTTAGCTGGACGTAGACAAGAGCACCATGAAAAAGAGTCACATTTCTCTAAAGAACTCGCCCAGGGCTGCTGAAAGCTGAAAAAGAACCTATCTAGAAGTTTGGGGCTTTTTACCCATGAATCTTCACTTTGCGACTAAACTATTCACAGCAGTGCCAAATTTTCTGGGTCACTGAATTCAGTTGCCAGCGCCCTACAAGTAAACAGAAAAATGAAACCAATGCGACCACTGAAATTACAGCTGGGTCATGTTATAGAGAGGTACGTTGAAATTGACAAGAGCACCAAGAAAAAGACCCACATTTCTCAAAAGAACTCGCCCAGGGCTCCTGAAAGCTGAAAAAGAACCTATCTAGAAGTTTGGGGCTTTTTACCCCGTGAATCTTCACTTTGCGGCTAAACTATTCACAGCAGTGCCAAATTGTTAGGGTCACTGATTGTGGGTGCCAGCGCCCTACAAGCAAACCAAAAATGAAACCAATGCGACCACTGAAATTACAGCTGGTTCATGTTATAGAGAGGTACGTTGAAATTAAAAGGTCAGCACAAATGGTCAAAATCCGACATTTTCTCACCTTTCTGCCCGTTCGCAGCTCAGAAAATGACAATGACCATCCTCATCTCGTTGTGTAGCTTGACATAGACAAGAGCACCATGAAAAAGACCCACATTTCTCTAAAGAACTCACCCAGGGCTGCTGAAAGCTGAAAAAGAACCTATCTAGAAGTTTGGGGCTTTTTAACCGTGAATCTTCACTTTGCGACTAAACTATTCACAGCTGTGCCAAAATTTTTAGGGTCACTGATTGTGGGTGCCAGCGCCCTACAAGCAAACAAAAAATCAAACCAATGCCACCACTGACATTACATCTGGGTCATGTTATAGAGAGGTAGGTTGAAATTGAAAGGTCAGCACAAATGGTCAAAATCCGACATTCTCTCACCTTTCTGCCCGTTCCCAGCTCAGAAAATGACAATGACCATCCTCATCTCGTTGTGTAGCTGGACATAGAAAATTGCATCATGAAAAAGAGCCACATTTCTCTAAGACACTCACCCAGGGCTGCTGAAAGCTGAAAAAGAACCTATCTAGAAGTTTGGGGCTTTTTACCAATGAATCTTCACTTTGCGTCTAAACTATTCACAGCAGTGCCAAAATTTCTGCGTCACTGAATGCAGGTGCCAGCGCCCTACAAGCAAACCAAAAATGAAACCAATGCGACCACTGAAATTACAGCTGGGTCATGTTATAGAGAGGTACGTTGAAATTGAAAGGTCAGCACAAATGGTCAAAATCCGACATTTTCTCACCTTTCTGCCCGTTCGCAGCTCAGAAAATGACAATGACCATCCTCATCTCGTGGTGTAGCTGGACATAGAAAATAGCACCATGAAAAAGAGCCACATTTCTCTAAAGAACTCACCCAGGGCTGCTGAAAGCTGAAAAAGAACCTATCTAGAAGTTTGGGGCTTTTTACCCGTGAATCTTCACTTTGCGACTAAACTATTCACAGCAGTGCCAAAATATCTGGTTTACTGAATGCGGGTGCCAGCGCCCTACAAGCAAACCAAAAATGAAACCAATGCGACCACTGAAATTACAGCTGGGTCATGTTATAGAGAGGTACGTTGAAATTGAAAGGTCAGCACAAATGGTCAAAATCCGACATTTTCTCACCTTTCTGCCCGTTCGCAGCTCATAAAATGACAATGACCATCCTCATCTCGTTGTGTAGCTGGACATAGAAAATAGCACCATGAAAAAGAGCCACATTTCTCTAAAGAACTCACCCAGGGCTGCTGAAAGCTGAAAAAGAACCTATCTAGAAGTTTGGGGCGTTTTACCCGTGAATCTTCACTTTGCGACTAAACTATTCACAGCAGTGCCAAATTTTCTGGGTCACTGAATGCGGGTGCCAGCGCCCTACAAGCAAACCAAAAATGAAACCAATGCGACCACTGAAATTACAGCTGGGTCATGTTATAGAGAGGTACGTTGAAATTGAAAGGTCAGCACAAATGGTCAAAATCCGACATTTTCTCACCTTTCTGCCCGTTCGCAGCTCAGAAAATGACAATGACCATCCTCATCTCGTTGTGTAGCTGGACATAGAAAATAGCACCATGAAAAAGAGCCACATTTCTCTAAAGAACTCACCCAGGGCTGCTGAAAGCTGAAAAAGAACCTATCTAGAAGTTTGGGGCTTTTTATCCGTGAATCTTCACTTTGCGACTAAACTATTCACAGCAGTGCCAAAATATCTGGGTAACTGAATGTGGGTGCCAGCGCCCTACAAGCAAACCAAAAATGAAACCAATGCGACCACTGAAATTACAGCTGGGTCATGTTATAGAGAGGTACGTTGAAATTTAAAGGTCAGCACAAATGGTCAAAATCCGACATTTTCTCACCTTTCTGCCCAGTCGCAGCTCAGAAAATGACAATGACCATCCTCATCTCGTTGGTTAGCTGGACATAGACAAGAGCACCATGAAAAAGAGTCACATTTCTCTAAAGAACTCGCCCAAGGCTGCTGAAAGCTGAAAAAGAACCTATCTAGAAGTTTGGGGCTTTTTACCCGTGAATCTTCACTTTGCGACTAAACTATTCACAGCAGTGCCAAATTTTCTGGGTCACTGAATGCGGGTGCCAGCGCCCTACAAGCAAACCAAAAATGAAACCAATGCGACCACTGAAATTACAGCTGGGTCATGTTATAGAGAGGTACGTTGAAATTGAAAGGTCAGCACAAATGGTCAAAATCCGACATTTTCTCACCTTTCTGCCCGTTCGCAGCTCAGAAAATGACAATGAACATCCTCATCTCGTTGTGTGGCTGTACATAGAAAGTAGCACCATGAAAAAGCGCCACATTTCTCTAAAGAACTCACCCAGGGGTTCTGAAAGCTGATAAAGAACCTATCTAGAAGTTTGGGGCTTTTTACCCGTGAATCTTCACTTTGCGACTAAACTATTCACAGCAGTGCCAAATGTTTTGGGTCACTGAATGCGGGTGCCAGCGCCCTAAAAGCAAACCAAAAATGAAACCAATGCGACCACTGAAATTACAGCTGGGTCATGTTATAGAGAGGTACGTTGAAATTGAAAGGTCAGCACAAATGGTCAAAATCCGACATTTTCTCACCTTTCTGCCCGTTCGCAGCTCAGAAAATGACAATGACCATCCTCATCTCGTTGTGTAGCTGGACATAGAAAATAGCACCATGAAAAAGAGCCACATTTCTCTAAAGAACTCACCCAGGGCTGCTGAAAGCTGAAAAAGAACCTATCTAGAAGTTTGGGGCTTTTTATCCGTGAATCTTCACTTTGCGACTAAACTATTCACAGCAGTGCCAAAATATCTGGGTAACTGAATGTGGGTGCCAGCGCCCTACAAGCAAACCAAAAATGAAACCAATGCGACCACTGAAATTACAGCTGGGTCATGTTATAGAGAGGTACGTTGAAATTGAAAGGTCAGCACAAATGGTCAAAATCCGACATATTCTCACCTTTCTGCCCGTTCGCAGCTCAGAAAATGACAATGACCATCCTCATCTCGTTGGTTAGCTGGACATAGACAAGAGCACCATGAAAAAGAGTCACATTTCTCTAAAGAACTCGCCCAAGGCTGCTGAAAGCTGAAAAAGAACCTATCTAGAAGTTTGGGGCTTTTTACCCGTGAATCTTCACTTTGCGACTAAACTATTCACAGTAGTGCCAAATGTTTTGGGTCACTGAATGCGGGTGCCAGCGCCCTAAAAGCAAACCAAAAATGAAACCAATGCGACCACTGAAATTACAGCTGGGTCATGTTATAGAGAGGTACGTTGAAATTGAAAGGTCAGCACAAATGGTCAAAATCCGACATTTTCTCACCTTTCTGCCCGTTCGCAGCTCAGAAAATGACAATGACCATCCTCATCTCGTTGGTTAGCTGGACATAGACAAGAGCACCACGAAAAAGAGTCACATTTCTCTAAAGAACTCGCCCAAGGCTGCTGAAAGCTGAAAAAGAACCTATCTAGAAGTTTGGGGCTTTTTACCCGTGAATCTTCACTTTGCGGCTAAGCTATTCACAGTAGTGCCAAATTTTTGGGTCACTGAATGCGGGTGCCAGCTCCCTACAAGCAAACCAAAAATGAAACCAATGCGACCACTGCAATTACAGCTGGGTCATGTTATAGAGAGGTACGTTGAAATTGAAAGGTCAGCACAAATGGTCAAAATCCGACATTTTCTCACCTTTCTGCCCGTTCGCAGCTCAGAAAATGACAATGACCATCCTCATCTCATTGTGTAGCTGGACATAGAAAATAGCACCATGAAAAAGAGCCACATTTCTCTAAAGAACTCACCCAGGGCTGCTGAAAGCTGAAAAAGAACCTATCTAGAAGTTTGGGACTTTTTACCCGTGAATCTTCACTTTTCGACTAAACTATTCGCAGCAGTGCCAAATTTTCTGGGTCACTGAATGCGGGTGCCAGCGCCCTACAAGCAAACCAAAAATGAAACTAATGCGACCACTGAAATTACAGCTGGGTCACGTTACAGAGAGGGACGTCGAAATTAAAAGGTTAGCACAAATGGTCAAAATCCGACATTTTCTCACCTTTCTGCCCGTTCGCAGCTCAGAAAATGACAATGACCATCCTCATCTCGTTGTGTAGCTGGACATAGAAAATAGCACCATGAAAAAGACCCACATTTCTCTAAAGAACTCACCCAGGGCTGCTGAAAGCTGAAGAAGGACCTATCTAGAAGTTTGGGGCTTTTTACCCGTGAATCTTCACTTTGCGACTAAACTATTCACAGCAGTGCAACATTTTCTGGGTCACTGAATTCGGGTGCAAGCCCTACAAGCAAACCAAAAATCAAACCAATGCGACCACTGAATTTACAGCTGGGTCATGTTATAGAGAGGTACGTTGAAATTGAAAGGTCAGCACAAATGGTCAAAATCCGACATTTTCTCACCTTTCTGCCCGTTCGCAGCTCAGAAAATGACAATGACCATCCTCATCTCGTTGTGTAGCTGGACATAGAAAATAGCACCATGAAAAAGAGCCACATTTCTCTAAAGAACTCACCCAGGGCTGCTGAAAGCTGAAAAAGAACCTATCTAGAAGTTTGGGGCTTTTTATCCGTGAATCTTCACTTTGCGACTAAACTATTCACAGCAGTGCCAAAATATTTGGGTAACTGAATGTGGGTGCCAGCGCCCTACAAGCAAACCAAAAATGAAACCAATGCGACCACTGAAATTACAGCTGGGTCATGTTATAGAGAGGTACGTTGAAATTTAAAGGTCAGCACAAATGGTCAAAATCCGACATATTCTCTCCTTTCTGCCCGTTCGCAGCTCAGAAAATGACAATGACCATCCTCATCTCGTTGGTTAGCTGGACATAGACAAGAGCACCATGAAAAAGAGCCACATTTCTCTAAAGAACTCGCCCAAGGCTGCTGAAAGCTGAAAAAGAACCTATCTAGAAGTTTGGGGCTTTTTACCCGTGAATCTTCACTTTGCGACTAAACTATTCACAGTAGTGCCAAATGTTTTGGGTCACTGAATGCGGGTGCCAGCGCCCTAAAAGCAAACCAAAAATGAAACCAATGCGACCACTGAAATTACAGCTGGGTCATGTTATAGAGAGGTACGTTGAAATTGAAAGGTCAGCACAAATGGTCAAAATCCGACATTTTCTCACCTTTCTGCCCGTTCGCAGCTCAGAAAATGACAATGACCATCCTCATCTCGTTGGTTAGCTGGACATAGACAAGAGCACCACGAAAAAGAGTCACATTTCTCTAAAGAACTCGCCCAAGGCTGCTGAAAGCTGAAAAAGAACCTATCTAGAAGTTTGGGGCTTTTTACCCATGAATCTTCACTTTGCGACTAAACTATTCACAGCAGTGCCAAATTTTCTCGGTCACTGAATGCGGGTGCCAGCGCCCTACAAGCAAACCAAAAATGAAACTAATGCGACCACTGAAATTACGGCTGGGTCACGTTACAGAGAGGGACGTCGAAATTAAAAGGTTAGCACAAATGGTCAAAATCCGACATTTTCTCACCTTTCTGCCCGTTCGCAGCTCAGAAAATGACAATGACCATCCTCATCTCGTTGTGTAGCTGGACATAGAAAATAGCACCATGAAAAAGAGCCACATTTCTCTAAAGAACTCACCCAGGGCTGCTGAAAGCTGAAGAAGGACCTATCTAGAAGTTTGGGGCTTTTTACCCGTGAATCTTCACTTTGCGACTAAACTATTCACAGCAGTGCCAAATTTTTAGGGTCACTGATTGTGGGTGCCAGCGCTCTACAAGCAAACCAAAAATGAAACCAATGCGACCGCTGACATTACAGCTGGGTCATGTTATAGGGAGGTACGTTGAAATTGAAAGGTCAGCACAAATGGTCAAAATCCGACATTTTCTCACCTTTCTGCCCGTTCGCAGCTTAGAAAATGACAATGACCATCCTCATCTCGTTGGTTAGCTGGACATAGACAAGAGCACCATGAAAAAGAGTCACATTTCTCTAAAGAACTCGCCCAGGGCTGCTGAAAGCTGAAAAAGAACCTATCTAGAAGTTTGGGGCTTTTTACCCGTGAATCTTCACTTTGCGACTAAACTATTCACAGCAGTGCCAAATTTTCTGGGTCACTGAATTCGGGTGCAAGCCCTACAAGCAAACCAAAAATCAAACCAATGCGACCACTGAAATTACAGCTGGGTCATGTTATAGAGAGGTACGTTGAAATTGAAAGGTCAGCACAAATGGTCAAAATCTGACATTTTCTCACCTTTCTGCCCGTTCGCAGCTCAGAAAATGATAATGACCATCTTCATCTCGTTGTGTAGCTGGACATAGAAATTAACACCATGAAAAAGAGCCACATTTCTCTAAAGAACTCACCCAGGGCTGCTGAAAGCTGAAAAAGAACTTATCTAGAAGTTTGGGGCTTTTTACCCGTGAATCTTCACTTTGCGACTAAACTATTCACAGCAGTGCCAAATAATCTGGGTCACTGAATTCGGGTGCAAGCCCTACAAGCAAACCAAAAATGAAACCAATGCGACCACTGAAATTACAGCTGGGTCATGTTATAGAGGTACGTTGAAATTGAAAGGTCAGCACAAATGGTCAAAATCCGACATTTTCTCACCTTTCTGCCCGTTCGCAGCTCAGAAAATGACAATGACCATCCTCATCTCGTTGTGAGGCTGGACATAGAAAATAGCACCATGAAAAAGAGCCACATTTCTCTAAAGAACTCACCCAGGGCTGCTGAAAGCTGAAAAAGAACCTATCTAGAAGTTTGGGGCTTTTTACCGGTGAATCTTCACTTTGCGACTAAACTATTCACAGCAGTGCCAAATTTTCTGGGTCACTGAATGCGGGTGCCAGCGCCCTACAAACAAACCAAAAATGAAACCAATGCGACCACTGAAATTACAGATGCGTCTTGTTATAGAGAGGTACGTTGAAAATGAAAGGTCAGCACAAATGGTCACAATCCGACATTTTCTCACCTTTCTGCCCGTTCGCAGCTCAGAAAATGACAATGACCATCCTCATCTTGTTGTGTAGCTGGAAATAGAAAATAGCACCATGAAAAGAGCCACATTTCTCTAAAGAAGTCACCCAGGGCTGCTGGAAGCTTAAAAATAGCCTATCTAGAAGTTTGGGGCCTTTTACTCGTGAATCTTCACTTTGCGACTAAACTATTCACAGCAGTGCCAAATTTACTGGGTCACTGAATGCGGGTGCCAGCGCCCTACAAGCAAACCAAAAATGAAGCCAATGCGACCTCTGAAATTACAGCTGGGTCATGTTATAGAGAGGTACGTTGAAATTGAAAGGTCAGCACAAATGGTCAAAATCCGACATTTTCTCACCTTTCTGCCCGTTCGCAGCTTAGAAAATGACAATGACCATCCTCATCTCGTTGGTTAGCTGGACATAGACAAGAGCACCATGAAAAAGAGTCACATTTCTCTAAAGAACTCACCCAGGGCTGCTGAAAGCTGAAAAAGAACCTATCTAGAAGTTTGGGGCTTTTTACCCGTGAATCTTCACTTTGCGACTAAACTATTCACAGCAGTGCCAAATTTTCTGGGTCACTGAATTCGGGTGCAAGCCCTACAAGCAAACCAAAAATCAAACCAATGCGACCACTGAAATTACAGCTGGGTCATGTTATAGAGAGGTACGTTGAAATTGAAAGGTCAGCACAAATGGTCAAAATCTGACATTATCACTCCCCCCTCACGTGACCGCGGACTCCTGCATATACACTCACACAATAACCACACAACTGTTTGGGGATAGCGCGCTTATTGTATTATGCCAAACTTGACACGCTGAGTCCAGCTTGACTCAGCTGAGTCCCTAACTGCAATTTACTGCTCTAACATGAAGCCGTGCCTCCCAAAAATAATGGGGGTGGCCTCGCCGCACGCTATCCCCTATTCTTGGTCCCGTCGATCTCTGTGCTGTTCGCTGTAGACCTGTTATGGCATGCCTGATTCGGTATACAGTGAAACCAGTAGTTAAAGACCACCGTGACCAGCGACCAGTCTGGTACTACCGACCACTTTGCCGGGCACGGACGGTCTCACAGTCATAATGGTTGTGCGGTGCAAGCCTGCAGCCAAGGACCACCTGCCACCAAGGACCGCTTTCCCTGGCTTAAAGGGGTGGTCGTTAGCCACAGGCTCAACCGCACATGTATCTCTTGCGGGTCAACCCTGACCACCTTCCGGCGGCCTGGAGCTGCCATCCGGGCACCTTCCTGGCCGCCAGATCCTGTGTCAGCTTGAGGGCGTCTACCAAGGGCATTGCCATGAAGGACTGCTAGGCTTTCCCCTGGTTGGTAGCTCCTGCTGGTGCTGGGCACTACTGAATACGCTGACGACTTGTCAGCTTCCGCGGGTAGTGTTCGCACGGGGGGATACCTGGGCGCCCCAAGCCGGGCAGACAACAGCCGAAGGGCTGTCGTGTTGGATACAAGTGTGACTAGCTACCCGCCTGGTACTATGGACACCTTCGCCGGGCACGGACGGTCTCACATTCATAGTTTGCGGTGCAAGCCTCCAACTAAGGACCACCTGCCCCTCAAGACCGCTTTCTCTGGCCCCAAGGGGTGGCCGCTTAGTCAAAGGCTCCACCGCACATGCATCTCTTGCGGGTCAACCCTGACCACCTTCCGGTGACCTAGATCTGCCGTCCAGGCCCCTTCCTGGTGGCCAGATCCTGTGTCAGCTTGAGGGGGTCTACCAAGGGAATTGCCATGAAGGACTGCTAGGCTTTCCCCTGATTGGTAGGTCCTGCTGGTGCTGGGCACTACTGAATACGCCGTCACAACTTTTCCGCTTCCACGGGTGGTGTTCGCACGAGGGGGATGCCTGGGTGCCCCCCGCAGAGCCGACAACAGAGCCAAGGGTTGGCGCGTCGTATACAATTATTAGTTTCTCAGTTATTCTTGTATTTTGCGGCTTCCCGCCCGCCGATCGTCCAAAAAAAAATATGGGGTGAGGCCCCTATCCTGCAGCAAGCAATAAATGTGGCCGGGAGTATGCGCTAAGGGCCAGTCAGGACCTGCTGGGTGCCCGAGCTACGGTGCTAACAAGCAAATGCGAACAAGCAAGCTCGAAAGGAGATCTTCGGTTGCACTCCCCATCTCAGCTGCAAACAAACCACGCTCCGAGGGAGAGCTGCCCCTGCATTTTGCAAGCCTGGCTGTAAATATACAAAGCTCCAAGGGGAAATGCCCCTGCATTTTGCAAACATAGCTGTACACATCCAATGCTCCCAGGGGAGCTGCCCCTGCATTTTGCAAACATAGCTGTAAACTTCCAAGGCTCCAAGGGGAGCTGCCCCTGCATTTTGCAAGCATAGCTATAAACATCCAAAGCCCAGGGGAGCTACCCCTGCGTTTTGCAAACCTAGCTGTAAACCAACAAAGCTCAAAGGGAAGCTGTCCCTGCATTTTGCACACATAGTTGTAAGCATCCAAGGCTCCAAGGGGGGCTGACCCTGCATTTGCAAACATAGCTGTAAACATCCAAAGCTCCCAGGGGAGCTGCTCCTGCATTTTGCGACCACACCTGTAAACATCCAACTTCAAAAGCTACCAGGGGAACTGCCCCTGCAGTTTGCAAGCATAGCTGTAAACATCCAAAGCTCCAAAGGGGAGCTACCCCTGCGTTTTGCAAACCTAGCAGTAAACCTACGAAGCTCAAAGGGGAGCTGCCCCTGCATTTTGCAAACATAGTTGTAAACGTAGAACTAGAAGGCTCCAAGGGGAGCTGCCCCTGTATTTGCAAATATAGCTGTAAACATCCAAAGTTCCAAGGGGAGCTCCCCCTACATTTGGCAAACCTAGCTGTAAACCTACAACGCTCTGAGGAGAGCTACCCCTGCATTTTGCAAACCTGGCTGTAAACATCCAAGCCCCAAGGGGAACTGCCCCTGCATTTAGCCAACATAGTGGTAAACATCCAAAGTTTCAAGGAGTGCTGCCCCTGCATTTTGTCCGCACAGCTGTAAACTAGTTTTAAAAGCTCCAAGGGGAGCTGCCCCTGCATTTTGCAAACATAGCTGTAAACATCCAAAGCTCCAAGGGGAGCTGTCCCTGCATTTTGTCGCGTAGCTGTCAACTAGCTAAAGCTCCAAGGAGAGCTACCCCTGCATTTTGCAAACGTGGCCGTAAACATACCCAGCTCCAAGCCCTTTTTTTTTGTTTCTTCCTCGCAAACATAGCTGTAAACATACCACGCACTAAGGGGAGCTGCCCCTGCTTTCTGCAAGCATCGCTGTAAACGATTACATACAAGGCTCGGAGGGGAGTTGCCCCTGCTTTTTGCAAACATAACTGTACCAGGCCCCAAGGGGAGCTGCCCCTGAATCTTGCAAACATAGCTGTGAACATACAAAGCTCAAAGGGGAGCGGCCCCTGCGTTTTGCAAACATAGCCGCAGCGCCGGGCATAACGTCACCCAGGCGAGGCGCGCTGCCTTGACCAATGCCGCCGCAAACAACACGCGCAAAGGGGCGCTGCCCCTGCATTTGCTCGCATAGCCGCCGTATCAGACCGCCGGGTCAGCCGCCATATCAGACCGCTGGGTCAGCCGCCATATCAGACCGCTGGGTCAGCCGCCGTATCAGACCGCTGGGTCAGCCGCCATATCAGACCGCCGGGTCAGTTGCCATATCGGACCGCTGGGCCGACTGCCATGTCGGGCCGCCGGGTCAACCGCCGCATGGGCTAGGGGCGCTGCCCCTGCCTCTGCCGCCGCCACAAACAGAGCTCAAAAGGGAACCACCCCTGCATTTGCTCGCAACGCCGCCGTATCAGGCCGCCGGGTATTCCGCCGCATAGGCGATTACGTAGGGGAATCGCCCCTGCCTCCGCTAGTACAACTGAATAAGCAGCATGGGCCAATCGCCCTGCCCGCCGGGTGCGCATAATGTGTGAGTGTGTGTGTGTAACGCACATACGTGTGTCTGCAATATGCCCTGCGCGGTCGTGACGGATTAATCCGTCGCACCTCGGGTAAAGTGTTAATTACTGAAAGTAAAACAAGGTCGCCAGCCCGCCAACACCGGCACGTACTGCCGGCTCGCCGTGGTACCTAAACAACAATGGCAACAGCGACGACAGCCGCAAGGAAAAAGATAACAGCTTGCCATGTCCAAACAAAGCCCCAAAACAGCAAAGTAGACCCCACATGCTGAGACTTGGTGTAATGCCGCCTAGTACGAGTAGGAAGGGGAGGGGAGCGACAGCACTTAGAGGCGAAGCAGGGCGAGGGATGGAGGAGAGGAGGATAAAGAGAGAGAGAGAGAGAGAGAGAGAGAGAGAGTATGTGTGTGTGTGTGTGTGTGTGTGTATGTATGTATGTATGTATGTATGTATGTATGTATGTATGTATGTATGTATGTATGTATGTATGTATGTATGTATGCGTGTGCGTGTGCGTGGGTGTGTGTGTGCATGCGTGCTTACCCACGTGTGCTGAGAGAGATAGACTACACAGCGAATGAAAAAGGAGGCACGCATTGGTTGAGAAGAAGTTCAGCCGGTTTGCTGCCATGATTAGTTGCTCCCGCATAGCATGAGTTCGGGACTAAGCCGAGTCGAGCAGCTGGATTAGGGAGCCGATGAGAGGAAATGGACTAATCGTCCGCGTGAAAGAGCGTCCGCAGCGGAGTTGTCCTTGACCGTAATATGGGTAGTCAGCGAGATAAGCCTTGTGTTCTGCTACCATGCGGGGGCTGAAGTGGGCTAGTTCCGTCACGGTTGGATTTCGGCAAGTCCCGGATTTCAGACTGCTCCAACTGCCTTTTGTCGCCGTGCAGTATGAATTTCTTGTCGGACTACTTAGGGCCCCAGAGGGCGTAAGCTCGTGTTGCAAGGCGCGATGGTTCTGAAAGTCTGCCAGGCCTCGACCCAGTTAGATTAGAGATTCAGTTTTTCTCTTGCCAGAAGAGGAGCCGCCAATGACAATTCCATTCGGTGATTGCCATCGGATTGATCGATTCTAACACGTTTGGCTGCTGGCTGCGTGTGGGCAGGACGGGAAGGAAGCATTGTGGCCAGCTCGAAGTATTCCGCACGCCGTATTGTCCTAATCGTCTCCCGTGCGCCAACACATGCGCCGGCCGGCATCATAGCGCCTCCAAGGAACTCAACTAAACTGGTCATACACGACAGTGTCCATGCCTGCATTTTCGGCCGGCATGCTCATCGCCCGAGGGTTGTTGGTCAGGGCCGACGCTGCCGTCGCCGCGGTCTCAAACGAGGAATACCAGCGATCCGCTGCTGAGTAGGATCCATGCTCAGGTACGGGCATAAACCATGTAAACCAACTAGCTTTAGAGTAAACGAGAGCAAAAAAATTCTGGCCTTCTGCAAGCAATAGCAAGTAATGAGTGACGGCTGTGTAAAGTCGCACAACCATGCAGTCGACCGGATGATGGTGAGTGTCCGGCACACATCTTGCTCTGCTGCTCCACCTGCGCATACCTGATACGGTGGTGCGCTTACGGGCGGGCTGCCTGGGCCCCAGATGCCTCCTTGATGCGCCACGGAGTGCCGTCGAAGCACCTGTATCACTTCGGTGATCCAAATGCGAATGCAGCCTTGCCGGTCGCCCGCCGGCCTGCCGCCTACGCGACCAGCCTGAGACTGGCCCTGCCGCATTTGGCGCTTCTAAACGCTGCGATCCGGTAGACAGCTCACTGGGCTGCCAAGTACGTGACTGGCTTGAGGACAGTTCCATACTGGGCAGGGCGCCCAGCTCAGGTCGCACGCCGTAGCGGCGTGAGCTGGGCGCGGTGAGGTTTGGTGATAACTACAGTTTCCTCCTTCCTCCTCCGGAAACTTCCATTTTTCTCACCTTTCTGCCCGTTCGCAGCTCAGAAAATGATAATGACCATCTTCATCTCGTTGTGTAGCTGGACATAGAAATTAACACCATGAAAAAGAGCCACATTTCTCTAAAGAACTCACCCAGGGCTGCTGAAAGCTGAAAAAGAACTTATCTAGAAGTTTGGGGCTTTTTACCCGTGAATCTTCACTTTGCGACTAAACTATTCACAGCAGTGCCAAATAATCTGGGTCACTGAATTCGGGTGCAAGCCCTACAAGCAAACCAAAAATGAAACCAATGCGACCACTGAAATTACAGCTGGGTCATGTTATAGAGAGGTACGTTGAAATTGAAAGGTCAGCACAAATGGTCAAAATCCGACATTTTCTCACCTTTCTGCCCGTTCCCAGCTCAGAAAATGACAATGACCATCCTCATCTCGTTGTGAGGCTGGACATAGAAAATAGCACCATGAAAAAGAGCCACATTTCTCTAAAGAACTCGCCCAGGGCTGCTGAAAGCTGAAAAAGAACCTATCTAGAAGTTTGGGGCTTTTTACCCGTGAATCTTCACTTTGCGACTAAACTATTCACAGCAGTGCCAAATTATCTGGGTCACTGAATGCGGGTGCCAGCGCCCTACAAACAAACCAAAAATGAAACCAATGCGACCACTGAAATTACAGATGGGTCTTGTTATAGAGAGGTACGTTGAAAATGAAAGGTCAGCACAAATGGTCAAAATCCGACATTTTCTCACCTTTCTGCCCGTTCGCAGCTCAGAAAATGACAATGACCATCCTCATCTTGCTGTGTAGCTGGAAATAGAAAATAGCACCATGAAAAGAGCCACATTTCTCTAAAGAAGTCACCCAGGGCTGCTGGAAGCTTAAAAATAGCCTATCTAGAAGTTTGGGGCCTTTTACTCGTGAATCTTCACTTTGCGACTAAACTATTCACAGCAGTGCCAAATTTACTGGGTCACTGAATGCGGGTGCCAGCGCCCTACAAGCAAACCAAAAATGAAGCCAATGCGACCACTGAAATTACAGCTGGGTCATGTTATAGAGAGGTACGTTGAAATTGAAAGGTCAGCACAAATGGTCAAAATCCGACATTTTCTCACCTTTCTGCCCGTTCGCAGCTCAGAAAATGACAATGACCATCCTCATCTCGTTGTGTAGCTGGACATAGAAAATAGCACCATGAAAAAGAGCCACATTTCTCTAAAGAACTCACCCAGGGCTTCTGAAAGCTGATAAAGAACCTATCTAGAAGTTTGGGGCTTTTTACCCGTGAATCTTCACTTTGCGACTAAACTATTCACAGCAGTGCCCAATTTTATGGGTCACTGAATGCGGGTGCCAGCGCCCTACAAGCAAACCAAAAATGAAACCAATGCGACCACTGAAATTACAGCTGGGTCATGTTATAGAGAGGTACGTTGAAATTGAAAGGTCAGCACAAATGGTCAAAATCCGACATTTTCTCACATTTCGTCCCGTTCGCAGCTCAGAAAATGACAAGGACCATCCTTTCTCTAAAGAACTCGCCCAGGGCTGCTGAAAGCTGAACATGGCCAGCAATCGAGGACATCTGAGAGTTGTAATTTTTGTACTCCTCCGAGGTGTGATTTTTGGCGTGCTGGGCCAAGCACAAGGAAGCCATCTGCAAAAAATCTGCAGAAAATGGTTGTTGTTTGATCCTTTGGTGTAATCTTTGTTTCTAGTCGAAGCTAGTTGCTGTTTGGAGCAGAAACGCTGAAATTGACTATTTTCTGCATGTACTCATACATGTACTCATGTACTCAGGCATGCAGTCTCACTCGTATTTTAGCTCTTTTTCTGGAATGGATGCTGCTCTGCGCCCCCTTGGTGAACATTTCCTGCGCTCGTGGAGCAGCTGAAAAGGACCACTGGTATGTCTGGTTCCTGGTTTGAAAGTGGAGAGTCGACTTTTGTGCCTTGAAAAAGGAGTAGAGAGCGATAAAGGTACGTCTGTGGCTTATTTTTGAATGCTCCTCGTACATTTTTGATCGTGATAGAAATTCTCAGACCAAAGTCAGACCAAAGTCAGCGCGATGATGGCCATACAGTTTTCTTGTGGATTTTTTAGTTGTTTCATCTCGTATCTCTGTCAGTATCGTGATGGTGAAGTGGAGAGGGTGATTTTCTTCCTCTAGGCTTCGTTCGGCTGACTTTGCTTCGTCCTCATTGAAAAGTGATCCTGGAAAAAAGTTCGATTTGCAAAATTATGTTGATTTTGAATGTACGTGATGACATGCGATTGCTGGCTATGAAAGAACCTATCTAGAAGTTTGGGGCTTTTTACCCGTGAATCTTCACTTTGCGACTAAACTATTCACAGCAGTGCCAAATTTTTAGGGTCACTGATTGTGGGTGCCAGCGCCCTACAAGCAAAGCAAAAATCAAACCAATGCGAACGCTGACATTACAGCTGGGTCATGTTATAGAGAGGTACGTTGAAATTGAAAGGTCAGCACAAATGGTCAAAATCCGACATTTTCTCACCTTACTGCCCGTTCGCAGCTTAGAAAATGACAATGACCATCCTCATCTCGTTGTGTAGCTGGACATAGACAAGAGAACAAAGAAAAAGATCCACATTCCGCAAAAGAACTCACCCAGGGCTGCTGAAAGCTGAAAAAGAACCTATCTAGAAGTTTGGGGCTTTTTACCCGTGAATCTTCACTTTGCGACTAAACTATTCACAGCAGTGCCAGCGCCCTACATGCAAACCAAAAATGAAACCAATATGACCGCTGACATTACAGCTGGGTCATGTTATAGAGAAGTACGTTGAAATTGAAAGGTCAGCACAAATGGTCAAAATCCGATATTTTCTCACCTTTCTGCCCGTTCGCAGCTCAGAAAATGACAATGACCATCCTCATCTCGTTGTGTAGCTGGACATAGAAAATAGCACCATGAAAAAGAGCCACATTTCTCTAAAGAACTCACCCAGGGCTGCTAAAGCTGAAAAAGAACCTATCTAGAAGTTTGGGGCTTTTTACTCGTGAATCTTCACTTTGCGACTGAACTATTCACAGCAGTGCCAAATTTTTGGGGTCACTGATTGTGGGTGCCAGCGCCCTACAAGCAAACCAAAAATCAAACCAATGCGACCGCTGACATTACAGCTGGGTCATGTTATAGAGAGGTACGTTGAAATTGAAAGGTCAGCACAAATGGTCAAAATCTGACATTTTCTCACCTTTCTGCCCGGTCGCAGCTTAGAAAATGACAATGACCATCCTCATCTCGTTGTGCAGCTGGACATAGACAAGAGAACCAAGAAAAAGATCCACATTTCTCTAAAGAACTCACCCAGGGCTGCTGGAAGTTGAAAAATAACCTATCTAGAAGTTTGGGGCTTTTTACCCGTGAATCTTCACTTTGCGACTAAACTATTCACAGCAGAGCCAAATTTTTGGGGTCACTGATTGTGGGTGCCAGCGGCCTACAAGCAAACCAAAAATGAAACCAATATGACCGCTGACATTACAGCTGGGTCATGTTATAGAGAGGTACGTTGAAATTGAAAGGTCAGCACAAATGGTCAAAATCCGACATTTTCTCACCTTTCTGCATGTTCGCAGCTCAGAAAATGATAATGACCATCTTCATCTCGTTGTGTAGCTGGACATAGAAAATAGGACCATGAAAAAGAGCCACATTTCTCTAAAGAACTCACCCAGGGCTGCTGAAAGCTGAAAAAGAACCTATCTAGAAGTTTGGGGCTTTTTAAGCGTGAACCTTCACTTTGCGACTAAACTGTTCACAGCAGTGCCAAATTTTCTGGGTCACTCAATGCGGGTGCCAGCGCCCTACAAGCAAACCAAAAATGAAACCAATGCGACCGCTGACATTACAGCTGGGTCATGTTATAGAGAGGTACGTTGAAATTGAAAGGTCAGCACAAATGGTCAAAATCCGACATTTTCTCACCTTTCTGCCCGTTCGCAGCTTAGAAAATGACAATGACAATCCTCATCTCGTTGATTAGCTGGACATAGACAAGAGCACCATGAAAAAGATTTACATTTCTCTAAAGAACTCGCCCAGGGCTGCTGAAAGCTGAAAAAGAACCTATCTAGAAGTTTGGGGCTTTTTACCCGTGAATCTTCACTTTGCGACTAAACTATTCACAGCAGTGCCAAATTTTCTGGGTAACTGAATATGGGTGCCAGCGCCCTACAAGCAAACCAAAAATGAAACCAATGCGACCACTGAAATTACAGCTGGGTCATGTTATAGAGAGGTACGTTGAAATTGAAAGGTCAGCACAAATGGTCAAAATCCGACATTTTCTCATCTTTCTGCCCGTTCGCAGCTCAGAAAATGACAATGACCATCCTCATCTCGTTGTGTAGCTGGACATAGAAAATAGCACCATGAAAAAGAGCCACATTTCTCTAAAGAACTCACCCAGGGCTGCTGAAAGCTGAAAAAGAACCTATCTAGAAGTTTGGGGCTTTTTACCCGTGAATCTTCACTTTGCGACTAAACTATTCACAGCAGTGCCAAATTTTTAGGGTCACTGATTGTGGGTGCCAGCGCCCTACAAGCAAACCAAAAATGAAACCAATGCGACCGCTGACATTACAGCTGGGTCATGTTATAGAGAGGTACGTTGAAATTGAAAGGTCAGCACAAATGGTCAAAATCCGACATTTTCTCACCTTTCTGCCCGTTCGCAGCTTAGAAAATGACAATGACCATCCTCATCTCGTTGGTTAGCTGGACATAGACAATAGCACCATGAAAAAGAGTCACATTTCTCTAAAGCACTCGCCCAGGGCTGCTGAAAGCTGAAAAAGAACCCATCTAGAAGTTTGGGGCTTTTTACCCGTGAATCTTCACTTTGCGACTAAACTATTCACAGCAGTGCCAAATTTTCTGCTTCACTGAATGTGGGTGCCAGCGCCCTACAAGCAAACCAAATATGAAACCGATGCGACCACTGAAATTACAGCTGGGTCATGTTATAGAGAGGTACGTTGAAATTGAAAAGTCAGCACAAATGGTCAAAATCCGACATTTTCTCACCTTTCTGCCCGTTCGCAGCTCAGAAAATGACAATGACCATCCTCATCTCGTTGTGTAGCTGGACATAGAAAATAGCACCATGAAAAATAGCCACATTTCTCTAAAGAACTCACCCAGGACTGCTGAAAGCTGAAAAAGAACCTATCTAGAAGTTTGGGGCTTTTTACCCGTGAATCTTCACTTTGCGACTAAACTGTTCACAGCAGTGCCAAATTTTCTGGGTCACTGAATGCGGGTGCCAGCGCCCTACAAGCAAACCAAAAATGAAACCAATGCGACCACTGAAATTACAGCTGGGTCATGTTATAGAGAGGTACGTTGAAATTGAAAGGTCAGCACAAATGGTCAAAATCCGACATTTTCTCACCTTTCTGCCCGTTCGCAGCTCAGAAAATGACAATGACCATCCTCATCTCGTTGTGTAGCTGGACATAGAAAATAGCACCATGAAAAAGAGCCACATTTCTCTAAAGAACTCACCCAGGGCTGCTGAAAGCTGAAAAAGAACCTATCTAGAAGTTTGGGGCTTTTTACCCGTGAATCTTCACTTTGCGACTAAACTATTCACAGCAGTGCCAAATTTTTAGGGTCACTGATTGTGGGTGCCAGCGCCCTACAAGCAAACCAAAAATGAAACCAATGCGACCGCTTCAATTACAGCTGGGTCATGTTATAGAGAGGTACGTTGAAATTGAAAGGTCAGCACAAATGGTCAAAATCCGACATTTTCTCACCTTTCTGCCCGTTCGCAGCTTAGAAAATGACAATGACCATCCTCATCTCGTTGGTTAGCTGGACATAGACAATAGCACCATGAAAAAGATTCACATTTCTCCAAAGAACTCGCCCAGGGCTGCTGAAAGCTGAAAAAGAACCTATCTAGAAGTTTGGGGCTTTTTACCCGTGAATCTTCACTTTGCGACTAAACTATTCACAGGAGTGCCAAATTTTCTGCTTCACTGAATGTGGGTGCCAGCGCCCTACAAGCGAACCAAAAATGAAACCGATGCGACCGATGAAATTACAGCTGGGCCATGTTATAGAGAGGTACGTTGAAATTGAAAAGTCAGCACAAATGGTCAAAATCCGACATTTTCTCACCTTTCTGCCCGTTCGCAGCTCAGAAAATGACAATGACCATCCTCATCTCGTTGTGTAGCTGGACATAGAAAATAGCACCATGAAAAAGAGCCACATTTCTCTAAAGAACTCACCCAGGGCTGCTGAAAGCAGAAAAAGAACCTATCTAGAAGTTTGGGGCTTTTTACCCGTGAATCTTCACTTTGCGACTAAACTATTCACAGCAGTGCCCAATTTTCTCGGTCACTGAATGCGGGTGCCAGCGCCCTACAAGCAAACCAAAAATGAAGCTAATGCGACCACTGAAATTACAGCTGAGTCACGTTATAGAGAGGTACGTCGAAATTGAAAGGTCAGCACAAATGGTCAAAATCCGACATTTTCTCACCTTTCTGCCCGTTCGCAGCTCAGAAAATGATAATGACCATCTTCATCTCGTTGTGTAGCTGGACATAGAAAATAGCACCATGAAAAAGAGCCACATTTCTCTAAAGAACTCGCCCAGGGCTGCTGAAAGCTGAAAAAGAACCTATCTAGAAGTTTGGGGCTTTTTACCCGTGAATCTTCACTTTGTGACTAAACTGTTCACAGCAGTACCAAATTTTCTGGATCGCTGAATGCGGGTGCCAGCGCCCTACAAGCAAACCAAAAATGAAACCAATGCGACCACTGAAATTACAGCTGGGTCATGTTATAGAGAGGTACGTTGAAATTGAAAGGTCAGCACAAATGGTCAAAATCAGACATTTTCTCACCTTTCTGCCCGTTCGCAGCTCAGAAAATGACAATGACCATCCTCATCTCGTTGTGTAGCTGGACATAGAAAATAGCACCATGAAAAAGAGCCACATTTCTCTAAAGAACTCACCCAGGGCTTCTGAAAGCTGAAAAAGAACCTATCTAGAAGTTTGGGGCTTTTTACCCGTGAATCTTCACTTTGCGACTAAACTATTCACAGCAGTGCCAAATTTTTAGGGTCACTGATTGTGGGTGCCAGCGCCCTACAAGCAAACCAAAAATGAAACCAATGCGACCGCTGACATTACAGCTGGGTCATGTTATAGAGAGGTACGTTGAAATTGAAAGGTCAGCACAAATGGTCAAAATCCGACATTTTCTCACCTTTCTGCCCGTTCGCAGCTTAGAAAACGACAATGACCATCCTCATCTCGTTGGTTAGCTGGACATAGACAATAGCACCATGAAAAAGAGTCACATTTCTCTAAAGAACTCGCCCAGGGCTGCTGAAAGCTGAAAAAGAACCCATCTAGAAGTTTGGGGCTTTTTACCCGTGAATCTTCACTTTGCGACTAAACTATTCACAGCAGTGCCAAATTTTCTGCTTCACTGAATGTGGGTGCCAGCGCCCTACAAGCAAACCAAATATGAAACCGATGCGACCACTGAAATTACAGCTGGGTCATGTTATAGAGAGGTACGTTGAAATTGAAAAGTCAGCACAAATGGTCAAAATCCGACATTTTCTCACCTTTCTGCCCGTTCGCAGCTCAGAAAATGACAATGACCATCCTCATCTCGTTGTGTAGCTGGACATAGAAAATAGCACCATGAAAAATAGCCACATTTCTCTAAAGAACTCACCCAGGACTGCTGAAAGCTGAAAAAGAACCTATCTAGAAGTTTGGGGCTTTTTACCCGTGAATCTTCACTTTGCGACTAAACTATTCACAGCAGTGCCAAATTTTCTGGGTCACTGAATGCGGGTGCCAGCGCCCTACGAGCAAACCAAAAATGAAATCAATGCGACCACTGAAATTACAGCTGGGTCATGTTATAGAGAGGTACGTTGAAATTGAAAGGTCAGCACAAATGGTCAAAATCCGACATTTTCTCACCTTTCTGCCAGTTCGTAGCTCAGAAAATGACAATGACCATCCTCATCTCGTTGTGTAGCTGGACATAGAAAATAGCACCATGAAAAAGAGCCATATTTCTCTAAATAACTCACCCAGGGCTGCCGAAAGCTGAAAAAGAACCTATCTGTAACAGTATAGACTTGATTGATTGGAGAATTCGTCGAATGATGTTCAAACCAGAGGTTATAAAGCAAAAGAAAGGTGAGAACCGCAGGAGTGAGAATAGTAGGAACACAAGGTGTTACCATAAGACAAGCAAGAAGTGTCAAGGTAAAACTATTACACTCTCCCGGCCCCATAGGAAGCCCAAGGTTCTATATGTGATAACACAATCCAGTTAGGAGATGCAATTGTGGAAAGGGGAATATTAAATAATCACTCATGCACATGCATAACCACATTGAAGTGTAATCCAACTCAACTTCATCACTCTCACAAGGAGATGACGCAAAACTATATCAGTCTATAACATAATTATTAACTATCTCAGTAAGAGATGCATATGGCTCAGCCCAGTTAGATCAAGGCTGCTGTCGTTGTGAGGCTAGATAGTTCTGCAGCGGTTTAATATTCCGACCAGACTCATCACATAGGTTGCCAGCGGGCTCCCACGTAGCTTCGCTGCTGGGGTAACCCTTCCAATGCACCAGGAAGTGTTGCTCACCACTGCGGTGTCGGTGATTCAAAACGGCTTCGGCAACATAGCGTGTGTGTCCATCTAGATCTGTGAAGGGCGGAGGCGGGGGTTGGTGTCTTCCAGGAATCGTGTTCTCTTCGTAGCGTTTAAGAGCAGTGACATTAAACACGGGATGGCAGCGAAGTTCACGGGGTAGTTCCAAGCGAAAAGCATTCGCTCCAATCTTAGCCTGGATACGATACGGACCAAACCACTTGGGTTGCAACTTCCGAGAGGGCTGGCCACGAGCTTCCGGGGTCAGTAGAAAGTCTCTGTAGACAAGAACGCTATCACCAACCTTCAAATCACTGGGCGTTCTCGTCTGGTCTGCGTATAGAGCTTGCCTTGCCTGGGCGTCGAGCATAGCATCTCGAGCTATCCTTAGTGCGGCTTCCTGCTCATGAAGCCAATCGACCGAATCACTCCTTTCCCCTCCCTTAAGAATGAATTCGGGCGGGGACTTAGGGTCAAACCCATAGTTCAGATAGAACGGTGTATTAGCTACAGATGACTGTTGTGAACTATTTATTGCAAACTCGCAGAGTGGTAGAAGCGAATCCCAATTGTCCTGTCTCAAGTTCACAAATGCTCTTAGAACATCTCCCACTTGCCGGTTAACTCTCTCTGTCAAACCATCCGTTTGAGGGTGGTTAGCAGTGCTGAATGCCAATTTAGTTCCTAGCTGAGAGAATACTTCTTTGAAAAAAGCTGCAGTGAATCGTGGATCGCGATCGGAAACAATGGTTGAGCTCAGCCCGTGCAGACGAAACACGTTTTGAATGTACAGTTGAGCGCTGCCCTTAGCATCAATCTTCGAGTTTGTTGGAACAAGATGTACGCATTTCGTAAGTCGGTCCACAAAGGTGTAAATTGCGTCGAAGCCACGAGAAGTAAGGGGCAATCCAACAATAAAATCCATTGAGATATCCTGCCAAGGACTATTAGGTATTGGAAGTGACTGGAGAAGCCCTGTTCGTGGCTGACCTCCCTTCGTTCGCTGGCAGAGATCACAGGTTTTGACAAATCTCTTGATATCGAGACCCATTCGGGGCCAGTAGAAAAAACGTGCTAGGCGGAAGTACGTTCGATCACGACCCGGGTGGCCAGCCGTTGCACACTCATGGTGTTCTTGAATGAGCTTTAACCGGACACCGCACTGTGGTATGCACAACCGGTTATTGGGGGATGCCTTGAGGTACAAGCGATCAGTGGATTCGTCCCAATAATAGCGATCATGCAAATTATCTCGGAGAGAATGCTTCAATCTTTCTATGATGGGAGTTAGCTCTTTGTCTCTCTGGTAGGCATCTGATATTGTATTGGACACGTCATCATTCATTGCTAAAGCATACTCAATAGCATTCAAACGTGGTACTGCATTCTCCACGAGGTTACTCTCATGGAGATCTGGGCGACGCGAAAGGGGATCTGCAGGGTTCTCTCTGCCGGGTCTGTGACGGACTGTGTAGTTATAGTCAGCTAGGAATTCAACCCATCGCGCCTCTCTCTTTGTAATGCTTGGTTTTGTTTTCAGATAAACTACCGCCATGTTGTCTGTAATGACCTCAAAGTGTTGAAAGAGGTAGATGCGCCAGGTCTTTAGCGCAAACACTACGGCCAATGTTTCTCTTTCTGTAGCTGTATAATTCTGTTCCGCAGCAGACAATTTTCGGCTAGCATAAGCCACTGGATGCCAGGCATCTTCCTCTAGTTCTTGGAGAAGAACACATCCCAAGGCGAAATCGCTTGCATCTGTTACCACTCTGAATGGTCGGTTCACATCAGCCAGCCGCAATAGGGGCGCATTCAACAAGGCATGCTTTAGCGATTCAAAGGCATGTTGCCGAGAGCTGTTCCACTCGAATCGTGCATGTTTTCCCGTTATCTCCTCTAAGTTCTTAGAGAGCGATGAGTATTGATCTATGAATCGCCTAAAATAATTCGTAAATCCAAGAAATTGCCTCACCTCTGTGACGGAAGTCGGAGCGGGCCAGACCTTTACTGCGGCAATCTTGTCTGGGTCAGGGGCGATGTGCAGTCCATCGATGCAATGTCCCAGGAACCGCACACTCTCCACGCCAAATTCACATTTTGACCGTTTGCAAAATAACTGGTTGTCCCGGAGCACGCTCAATACCGACCGGACATGCTGCATATGCTCCGACCACGTTTTGCTGAAGATGAGTATGTCATCTAGGAACACGACTACGAACTCCCTCAGATATGGTTGAAGAATCGTATTCATCATGGATTGAAATGTTGCCGGTGCATTGGTGAGACCAAATCCCATGACCCTAAATTGGTAATGCCCAAAGGGAGTGTTAATCGCGGTTTTGGGCACGTCCTCAGCTTGAATGCGAATCTGATTATACCCTGATCGGAGGTCTAGTTTCGTGAAGTACCTAGCGCCCTGTACAGTATCGAATAAATCATCCACATTGGGCAAGCACGCCTTGTTCTTAACAGTTATCTTGTTTAGCTCCCTCCAATCGCAGACCATGCGTAACGAACCATCAGCTTTCTTGACAAAAAACACCGGTGCACCAAAGGGGGACTTACTTGGTTCTACGAAACCCTTTTTCAAGAGTTCTGTGAGCTGTTTCTTCAATTCCTCCGTTTCTGGCCTGGGCAGGCGATAGGCAGGTCGCGATGGGGGTGATGAGCCTTCCTCCAGGCGGATTTCGTGGTCTACAGACCTCTCTGGTGGGAGTCTAGCTGGCAGATCATCCGGGAAAAGATCGTCATAGTCACGGAACATGGCCTTGAGATCTGGGTGCTCGTTCTGAGTGGATTTGTCGGGAGGTTCCTTGCCAATGCCGTCTTCTACGCTGACCCACGCCAGAACACCTTCGTCTCCACTCCTAAGGGCATGCCTAGCCTGACGACCAGATATGAACATCGCCTCCACAGGAGCGGTCGGTTCGCTTTGACTGGGCGACGCACAAGGCAAACCATTCGAGTTCAACCTGACTTCATTCGTCCGGAAGTTTATGTCTGGATTGTTACGCGTTAACCAAGGTTTCCCCAATATAGCGTCATAGCGATGAAGGGGGAACACCGTGAAGGTTTGGTTATCGCTGAAGTCGCCTACGATAACCTTCAATTCATGGGTCGTCTCCATGGGAAACGAGCTTGATGCTCCATCAGCCAGCGTGACATTCAGGTTTTCCGAGCCAATTTCGGTTGGCAGGTTAACTCTCCTGGCAAACTGTTCGGCAATGAAATCATGGGTCGAGCCCGAATCTATTAACATAAGCGCGCGACGACCGTTGATTTTGCCTTCTACACGCAGGAGCTCATGTTCCGTTTCCACATTGACGCTGGTAACCTGGGCCTCAATAGTTGGTGTAACATCTCGCTTGAAATTGGCTTCGGAGCATTCAGCATCATCGTCAACATCCTCCACAGCGAGGCTACTGAATCGGTTACGGGTAGAGACGGAGCACACACTACACGCAGGTGATGCCTTTTCTTGCTGCGTCAGTAATCGCATCGGCCTTACTGACGTCCACCGTTTGGGTGATCTCGATGCTGCGGGCAATTCTGGGCCATATGGCCTGGTCGACGACATGCGAAGCAGCCCCCCTGGGCTCGTAATGTCTCACGTTCCTCGGGGCTTAGTTTTGTTAGCTTTTTGCTACCTGATGGTGGTGCGAATCCCGGCGCGGTCGCCAGTGGTGGTCTGCGCTGAAATCGGCTGTCTGAGGCGACTGCTAGCGCTGACTGAACGGCGGCTGACAGTGTAGTGGGGTGTTCCTTCACTACCAAGGTCCGCATGTTACCGTGCAGGCCGTTGACAAATAGCAAGGCTCTGGAGAGTTCGTCAAGTTCCGGCACCTGTAAACTTAGCCGAGAAAACTCCGTTACGTACGATTCAATTGACCCACGCTGTTGGATAGAGAACATATCCAACCGCACTCTTTCCCCATCATAGTGCGGGCCATACACTCGCGCTAGGGCGCTTTTCAAAGAATGCCAATCCGAAAATTGCTCACCTGCTTCCAGGGAAGAAATTAGCCAAAGACGCGCATTCCCAGCGAGGTAGCTAGCCGCAAAGTTAACTTGGCTCTCCGGGTCACCTTGAGGTGAGCACTTCAAGGCTAACTCGACCGTAAATACCCATTCTTTGAACTCGGAAGGGTTGCCATGGAAAACATTCGGTTCTCTGGTAACGCGTTTGACGCTCGGGCTTGTCTGGGAGAGAGAACGCGATCGACACGGGGCTAGATCCGGAGGACTTGAGCTTGGTGTAGCAGGTAATTGATGTCGTCCAACTGTAGCAGCCACGTTGTCCCGAGCGCGGCGGATCTCACGGAAAGCGGCGTATAGCAGAGCAGTAGCGGCCAGGAGCACAAGGCACGTCAAAGGGCAAACGATGATCTCAACCATCCTCAAGCTACCAGTGTAACAGTATAGACTTGATTGATTGGAGAATTCGTCGAATGATGTTCAAACCAGAGGTTATAAAGCAAAAGAAAGGTGAGAACCGCAGGAGTGAGAATAGTAGGAACACAAGGTGTTACCATAAGACAAGCAAGAAGTGTCAAGGTAAAACTATTACACTATCTAGAAGTTTGGGGCATTTTACCCGTGAATCTTCACTTTGCGGCTAAACTATTCACAGCAGTGCCAAATTGTTAGGGTCACTGATTCTGGGTGCCAGCGCCCTACAAGCAAACCAAAAATCAAATCAATGTGACCACTGAAATTACAGCTGGTTCATGTTATAGAGAGGTACGTTGAAATTAAAAGGTCAGCACAAATGGTCAAAACCCGACATTTTCTCACCTTTCTGTCCGTTCGCAGCTCAGAAAATGACAATGACCATCCTCATCTCGTTATGTAGCTGGACATAGACAAGAGCACCATGAAAAAGACCCACATTTCTCTAAAGAACTCACCCAGGGCTGCTGAAAGCTGAAAAAGAACCTATCTAGAAGTTTGGGGCTTTTTAACCGTGAATCTTCACTTTGCGACTAAACTATTCACAGCAGTGCCAAAATTTTTAGGGTCACTGATTGTGGGTGCCAGCGCCCTACAAGCAAACCAAAAATCAAACCAATGCCACCACTGACATTACATCTGGGTCATGTTATAGAGAGGTACGTTGAAATTGAAAGGTCAGCACAAATGGTCAAAATCCGACATTTTCTCAACTTTCTGCCCGTTCGCAGCTCAGAAAATGACAATGACCATCCTCATCTCATTGTGTAGCTGGACATAGAAAATAGCACCATGAAAAAAAGCCACATTTCTCTAAAGAACTCACCCAGGGCTGCTGAAAGCTGAAAAAGAACCTATCTAGAAGTTTGGGGCTTTTTACCCGTGAATCTTCACTTTGCGACTAAACTATTCACAGCAGTGCCAAATTTTCTGGGTCACTGAATGCGGGTGCCAGCGCCCTACAAGCAAACCAAAAATGAAATCAATGCGACCACTGAAATTACAGGTGGGTCATGTTATAGAGAGGTACGTTGAAATTGAAAGGTCAGCACAAATGGTCAAAATCCGACATTTTCTCACCTTTCTGCCCGTTCGCAGCTCAGAAAATGACAATGACCATCCTCATCTCGTTGGCTAGCTGGACATAGGCAAGAGCACCAAGAAAAAGACCCACATTTCTCTAAAGAACCCGCCCAGGGCTGCTGAAAGCTGAAAAAGAACCTATCTAGAAGTTTGGGGCTTTTTACCCGTGAATCTTCACTTTGCGACTAAACTGTTCTTATCAGTGCCAATTTTTCTGGTTCACTGAATGTGGGTGCCAGCGCCCTACAAGCAAACCAAAAATGAAACCAATGCGACCACTGAAATTACAGCTGGATCATGTCATAGAAAATAGCACCATGAAAAAGAGCCACATTTCTCTAAAGAACTCGCCCAGGGCTGCTGAAAGCTGAAAAAGAACCTATCTAGGAGTTTGGGGCTTTTTACCCGTGAATCTTCACTTTGCGACTAAACTATTCACAGCAGTGCCAAATTTTCTGGATCACTGAATGCGGGTGCCAGCGCCCTACAAACAAACCAAAAATGAAACCAATGCGACCACTGAAATTACAGCTGGGTCTTGTTATAGAGAGGTACGTTGAAATTGAAAGGTCAGCACAAATGGTCAAAATCCGACATTTTCTCACCTTTCTGCCCGTTCGCAGCTCAGAAAATGACAATGACCATCCTTATCTCGTTGTGTGGCTGGACATAGAAAATAGCACCATGAAAAAGAGCCACATTTCTCTAAAGAACTCACCCAGGGCTGCTGAAAGCTGAAAAAGAACCTATCTCGAAGTTTGGGGCTTTTTACCCGTGAATCTTCACTTTTCGACTAAACTATTCACAGCAGTGCCAAATTTTCTGGGTCACTGAATGCGGGTGCCAGCGCCCTACAAGCAAACCAAAAAAAAACTAATGCGACCACTGAAATTACAGCCGGGTCACGTTATAGAGAGGGACGTCGAAATTAAAAGGTCAGCACAAATGGTCAAAATCCGACATTTTCTCACCTCTCTGCCCGTTCGCAGCTCAGAAAATGACAATGACCATCCTCATCTCGTTGTGTAGCTGGACATAGAAAATAGCACCATGAAAAAGAGCCACATTTCTCTAAAGAACTCACCCAGGGCTGCTGAAAGCTGAAAAAGAACCTATCTAGAAGTTTGGGGTTTTTTACCCGTGAATCTTCACTTTGCGACTAAACTATTCACAGCAGTGCCAAATTTTCTGGGTCACTGAATGCGGGTGCCAGCGCCCTACAAACAAACCAAAAATGAAACCAATGCGACCACTGAAATTACAGCTGGGTCTTGTTATAGAGAGGTACGTTGAAATTGAAAGGTCAGCACAAATGGTCAAAATCCGACATTTTCTCACCTTTCTGCCCGTTCGCAGCTCAGAAAATGACAATGACCATCCTCATCTTGTTGTGTAGCTGGAAATAGAAAATAGCACCATGAAAAGAGCCACATTTCTCTAAAGAACTCACCCAGGGCTGCTGAAAGCTGAAAAAGAACCTATCTAGAAGTTTGGGGCCTTTTACTCGTGAATCTTCACTTTACAATGACCATCCTCATCTCGTTGTGTAGCTGGACATAGGAAATAGCACCATGGAAAAAAGAGCCACATTTCTCTAAAGAACTCACCCAGGGCTGCTGAAAGCTGAAAAAGAACCTATCTAGAAGTTTGGGGCATTTTTCCCGTGAATCTTCACTTTGCGACTAAACTATTCACAGCAGTGCCAAATTTTCTGGGTCACTCAATGCGGGTGCCAGCGCCCTACAAGCAAACCAAAAATGAAACCAATGCGACCACTGAAATTACAGCTGGGTCATGTTATAGAGAGGTACGTCGAAATTGAAAGGTCAGCACAAATGGTCAAAATCCGACATTTTCTCACCTTTCTGCCCGTTCGCAGCTCAGAAAATGACAATGACCATCCTCATCTCGTTGTGTAGCTGGACATAGAAAATAGCACCATGAAAAAGAGCCACATTTCTCTAAAGAACTCACCCAGGGCTGCTGAAAGCTGAAAAAGAACCTATCTAGAAGTTTGGGGCTTTTTACCCGTGAATCTTCACTTTGCGACTAAACTATTCACAGCAGTGCCAAATTTTTAGGGTCACTGAATGTGGGTGCCAGCGCCCTACAAGCAAACGAAAAATGAAACCAATATGACCGCTGACATTACAGCTGGGTCATGTTATAGAGGTACGTTGAAATTGAAAGGTCAGCACATATGGTCAAAATCCGACATTTTCTCACCTTTCTGCCCGTTCGCAGCTTAGAAAATGACAATGACCATCCTCATCTCGTTGGTTAGCTGGACATAGACAACAGCACCATGAAAAAGAGTCACATTTCTCTAAAGAACTCGCCCAGGGCTGCTGAAAGCTGAAAAGGAACCTATCTAGAAGTTTGGGGCTTTTTACCCGTGAATCTTCACTTTGCGACTAAACTATTCACAGCAGTGCCAAATTTTCTGGTTCACTGAATGTGGGTGCCAGCGACCTACAAGCAAACCAAAAATGAAACCAATGCGACCACTGAAATTACAGCTGGGTCATGTTATAGAGGGGTACGTTGAAATTGGAAGGTCAGAACAAATGGTCAAAATCCGACATTTTCTCACCTTTCTGCCCGTTCGCAGCTCAGAAAATGACAATGACCATCCTCATCTCGTTGTGTAGCTGGACATAGAAAATAGCACCATGAAAAAAAGAGCCACATTTCTCTAAAGAACTCACCCAGGGCTGCTGAAAGCTGAAAAAGAACCTATCTAGAAGTTTGGGGCATTTTTCCCGTGAATCTTCACTTTGCGACTAAACTATTCACAGCAGTGCCAAATTTTCTGGGTCACTCAATGCGGGTGCCAGCGCCCTACAAGCAAACCAAAAATGAAACCAATGCGACGACTGAAATTACAGCTGGGTCACGTTATAGAGAGGTACGTTGAAATTGAAAGGTCAGCACAAATGGTCAAAATCCGACATTTTCTCACCTTTCTGCCCGTTCGCAGCTCAGAAAATGACAATGACCATCCTCATCACGTTGGTTAGCTGGACATAGAAAATAGCACCATGAAAAATAGCCACATTTCTCTAAAGAACTCACCCAGGGCTGCTGAAAGCTGAAAAAGAACCTATCTAGAAGTTTGGGGCTTATTACCCGTGAATCTTCACTTTGCGACTAAACTATTCACAGCAGTGCCAAATATTCTGGTTCACTGAATATGGGTGCCAGCGCCCTACAAGCAAACCAAAAATGAAACCAATGCGACCACTGAAATTACAGCTGGGTCATGTTATAGAGAGGTACGTTGAAATTGAAAGGTCAGCACAAATGGTCAAAATCCGACATTTTCTCACCTTTCTGCCCGTTCGCAGCTCAGAAAATGATAATGACCATCTTCATCTCGTTGTGTAGCTGGACATAGAAACTAGCACCATGAAAAAGAGCCACATTTCTCTAAAGCACTCACCCAGGGCTGCTGAAAGCTGAAAAAGAACCTATCTAGAAGTTTGGGGCTTTTTACCCGTGATCCTTAACTTTGCGACTAAACTGTTCACAGCAGTGCCAAATTTTCTGGGTCACTCAATGCGGGTGCCAGCGCCCTACAAGCAAACCAAAAATGAAACCAATGCGACCACTGAAATTACAGCTGGGTCATGTTATAGAGAGGTACGTGTAAATTGAAAGGTCAGCACAAATGGTCAAAATCCGACATTTTCTCACCTTTCTGCCCGTTCGCAGCTCAGAAAATGACAATGACCATCCTCATCTCGTTGTGTAGCTGGACATAGAAAATAGCACCATGAAAAAGAGCCACATTTCTCTAAAGAACTCACCCAGGGCTGCTGAAAGCTGAAAAAGAACCTATCTAGAAGTTTGGGGCTTTTTACCCGTGAATCTTCACTTTGCGGCTAAACTATTCACAGCAGTGCCAAATTTTCTGGGTCACTCAATGCGGGTGCCAGCGCCCTACAAGCAAACCAAAAATGAAACCAATGCGACCACTGAAATTACAGCTGGGTCACGTTATAGAGAGGTACGTTGAAATTGAAAGGTCAGCACAAATGGTCAAAATCCGACATTTTCTCACCTTTCTGCCCGTTCGCAGCTCAGAAAATAACAATGACCATCCTCATCTCGTTGTGTAGCTGGACATAGAAAATAGCACCATGAAAAAGAGCCACATTTCTCTAAAGAACTCACCCAGGGCTGCTGAAAGCTGAAAAAGAACCTATCTAGAAGTTTGGGGCTTTTTACCCGTGAATCTTCACTTTGCGACTAAACTATTCACAGCAGTGCCAAATTTTTAGGGTCACTGATTGTGGGTGCCAGCGCCCTACAAGCAAACGAAAAATGAAACCAATATGACCGCTGACATTACAGCTGGGTCATGTTATAGAGAGGTACGTTGAAATTGAAAGGTCAGCACATATGGTCAAAATCCGACATTTTCTCACCTTTCTGCCCGTTCGCAGCTTAGAAAATGACAATGACCATCCTCATCTCGTTGGTTAGCTGGACATAGACAACACCACCATGAAAAAGAGTCACATTTCTCTAAAGAACTCGCCCAGGGCTGCTGAAAGCTGAAAAAGAACCTATCTAGAAGTTCGGGGCTTTTTACCCGTGAATCTTCACTTTGCGACTAAACTATTCACAGCAGTGCCAAATTTTCTGGTTCACTGAATGTGGGTGCCAGCGACCTACAAGCAAACCAAAAATGAAACCAATGCGACCACTGAAATTACAGCTGGGTCATTAGTCCATCGGCCAAGTCTCAAAATCGAAAGTGGTGATGCACTGAGCTTCCAACTAAACGCGACCATACCCAGCACGTAGAGAATATATCAGAGAACACTATTCCGTTTGTTGGACGTGCCGAATTCAGTCCAGGGCGTCGATACAAAGCGTTCTTCGTCGCCGAGGTTTTTACTGTGCGCTCCATTTGAGAGTGCGCAGAGTTCTGATCGAGAGTTTTTTGAGCAGATTTTCAAATTTTTGAGGCTGTCAGCTGACAGCTGTCAACCCTAAATGGCACCTAGTATGTGACAGGCAATAGGTTTTGGTGCCTCCGTATGCCTTCTAATAAGTTCTATCTTCCTTCGTTTCACTTCGCTGCTTCGCCCACCACCTCAGGAGATGGCAGCGTACCTGCACTAGTCAGCTCTCGCTAACCCTGTCTCTCTTTCTCCGTCTTAGCGCTCGTCATTCGTGTCCTTCTGCTGGGGCGAGCTTGATACTGTTGTGTCGTAGTTTTTAGGCAATAGTGGCTGTTGTTCGCGTGACGATCAGGATTTATGGAGAAAGACGACGACTCGCCAAGTTCCCATGCAGCCACAGACGGCGTAGCAATTCTTACCGCCAACCCTTCGAGCAACGGAACCGGCCTGAGTTGGAAATCGTGTCTGTGCAATTGTGCCACGATACGGATGAAACACACAGGCTCACATGTGACGAGATGAAGATAATCTCAACAGGCTGACGGAAATCCAACAGGCTGACGGAAATCCAACAGGCTCACGGGAACGCTGCAGTTATGGTCGGAGACGCGGAGTTATTTAGTCACTGGTAAATGTTGCATCGAGTGCTGTGTGCTCTAACACAATTGTAAAATCATGAAAAGCGAAAATAATGCAATGGTGGGGCAGAGTGGTGTTCTGTGGAGGAGACGTCGCTGTCTCAGTATTCAACGCCGGACCCTGTATTTCAAGTCTGTGGTCATGCTCGATCATAAGTTCCTGTATGGCTCCAGTGCCTTCTCAGCATTGTTGGCGGGTAAGCACCTGGATCGTGTCCAAGTACTGCGGCTCTGGTGGCTTGAGGGAGGTACGGGTGCTCGCCATGCACCCCTGCCGGCAATCTGCTAGTGAAGCTTGGTACCTACTGTGTCCGGGAGATTTTCATCCAGAAGCTGATCTTCCTAGGCTGGAGCTGCTGCTACTCCTGTGCTAGCCCTCAACCACTGGCGCTCCTACTCGGCTCCATTGTGGGCCATTAACCACCCTGCCCGATTTCGCACTGTTGCTATTCCACACCGTCAGCATTTAACTCTGAGGTCAGACCTTGATCCCTCCCACCATATGCTATCTGTCTGTCTGCCTCTCTCTCTCACACACAGATGTGCGCGCATACACACACACACACACATGCACACACAGTGACACAAACATACACATAGCCAGCTTCTCTGTATTTGGTGATCATCATCTGTTTTCTGATGTGCAAGCTCACCTCTGATGCCGATTACTTCCTTGCTTAGATCCGGTCTGCTATTAGACCAGTCTGCTCTCCCTTCACTCGCTTGTAAATCCTACTTGGAGCAGTAAGGTTGTGTCACTGCTCCTACTGATGTCATTGTTGTGAAAGCAATATCATCGCCATTGGTGGTAATTTTCCACCGTGCATGAATTATTAACAATCATCATCTATATGTCACGGCCTAACCATCCTCGTAACTCCCCTCATCGTGACTAGTGCTGTACCGTTGAAACCTACTTTGCTTCAGTGTATATTCGCTCCAAAGCTCTTGTTTTGTTGCATAGTGATCTGACGCAGTGTGCTATAGCCTATCGGGTAATATGGATAAGATTAGTACAGTCGGCATCGCCTATGGAGTGACCAGGTACATGTATAAGGATACTAGTACATGTATACCGGCTTAACGATATCGGAACACAAATAGCACTATGTGTGCAATATTCCTTTCTAAGCTCACGCTGCGCGGTGCAGATAGGTCATGTGTCGTTGCCAACTTGCCGCATGTGCATGTGCAGCAGGAAGGCACCACATGTCGACTACTACTTATACTGTACAGCATTGTGTGCTTACATGCATCTACGGCCTTGTGGATGCAATTGACTCTCACATACATGTACATGAAATATTGCTTGTAGTGCGGTATCCGGTATTAACATACAATGGCTAAATATTTTTCTCGCAATAATGACCGTATTCACCACAAGTGTGTTTATGTCCAGAGCCAACTCAAGTCCTGTTTTATTTATGACCATGACAAGACGTCCGGGCTGAAATTCTTCTATGACATGCATGAACACTTGCCTTACAATTGTTCGTGATTGTACGAAGTACATATTCGCTGTTGCATCAATTTTGCAATATTTACATTGTAGTGCCACTAGTGGTATCACCTGCATGCGTATTGAGTCAAACAAGGTTACCTCTGTATAATTATGCTTATCGTGGCTATCAAGAGCTTCGATGCAAATTCCCAGCTGACGAATGGTGTCCAGCTTGTGTTCAGCTCAGCTGGCACTCACAACTCATAATAATTGCGTTCTAGACGCCAGATGAGATGTTTCAGCTACAATGTAGACAAAACCTTCCGTTTTCAAGAAAGCCGTCACTTCATCTTCTGTCCATCCTCAATAGCACGTTCAAGCAAATACGTCTGAAACACAGTAGCGACAATCCGACAGCGGCGACACGCCGTCTTCTCCGAATGAGCTTCTACCGTTCTAATTGAGTAATTCAGATTCCCCCAAAAATGTCAAAATAAATAATAGATTTCCACCAAGCTCGCTAGAATCTTGCGAACGGTCAACATGCAGGCATTTCAAGTGTTCGAGCGTGCGTAGATTCTGCTCAGCGGCTCAAGAACATTCGCCAAGCGAAAAAAAGTCGATGAGAAAGATGTAATGGTGGACGAAATTACGAAAATCGGAAGAAGGTATTCGACCCAGTTCGACTATCCTGGACTGGATTGGCAACGTCCAACAATCGGATTCGTATTCTATGGGGTCTCATGAGCTAGTGTGCCAAAGGGCGTTTAGTTGGAGCTTCAGTGCATCACTTTCGCCGAAAGAGGCCCTTTCTGAGATTTGGCCGATGGACTACATGTTATAGAGAGGTACGTTGAAATTGGAAGGTCAGCACAAATGGTCAAAATCCGACATTTTCTCACCTTTCTGCCCGTTCGCAGCTCAGAAAATGACAATGACCATCCTCATCTCGTTGTGTAGCTGGACATAGAAAATAGCACCATGAAAAAGAGCCATATTTCTCTAAAGAACTCACCCAGGGCTGCTGAAAGCTGATAAAGAACCTATCTAGAAGTTTGGGGCTTTTACCCGTGAATCTTTACTATGCGACTAAACTATTCACAGCAGTGCCAAATTTTTAGGGTCACTGATTGTGGGTGCCAGCGCCCTACAAGCAAACCAAAAATGAAACCAATGCGACCGCTGACATTACAGCTGGGTCATGTTATAGAGAGGTACGTTGAAATTGAAAGGTCAGCACAAATGGTCAAAATCCGACATTTTCTCACCTTTCTGCCCGTTCGCAGCTCAGAAAATGACAATGACCATCCTCATCTCGTTGGTTAGCTGGACATAGACAACGGCACCATGAAAAAGAGTCACATTTCTCTAAAGAACTCGCCCAGGACTGCTGAAAGCTGAAAAAGAACCTATCTAGAAGTTTGGGGCTTTTTACCCGTGAATCTTCACTTTGCGACTAAACTATTCACAGCAGTGCCAAATATTCTGGTTCACTGAATATGGATGCCAGCGCCATACAAGCAAACCAAAAATGAAACCAATGCGACCACTGAAATTACAGCTGGGTCATGTTATAGAGAGGTACGTTGAAATTGAAAGGTCAGCACAAATGGTCAAAATCCGACATTTTCTCACAGTTCTGCCCGTTCGCAGCTCAGAAAATGATAATGACCATCTTCATCTCGTTGTGTAGCTGGACATAGAAAATAGCACCATGAAAAAGACCCACATTTCTCTAAAGAACTCACCAAGGGCTGCTGAAAGCTGAAAAAGAACCTATCTAGAAGTTTGGGGCTTTTTACCCGTGAATCTTCACTTTGCGACTAAACTGTTCACAGCAGTGCCAAATTTTCTGGGTCACTGAATGCGGGTGCCAGCGCCCTACAAGCAAACCAAAAATGAAACCAATGCGACCACTGAAATTACAGCTGGGTCACGTTATAGAGAGGTACGTTGAAATTGAAAGGTCAGCACAAATGGTCAAAATCCGACATTTTCTCACCTTTCTGCCCGTTCGCAGCTCAGAAAATGACAATGACCATCCTCATCTCGTTGTGTAGCTGGACATAGAAAATAGCACCATGAAAAAGAGCCACATTTCTCTAAAGAACTCACCCAGGGCTGCTGAAAGCTGAAAAAGAACCTATCTAGAAGTTTGGGGCTTTTTAC